ATCAATTTTCAACAAATCTATTGGAAGAGCTCCAATTTTTCACGTCGACAAATTTGGTTGAAAATCAGAGAATTTTGTTGCCAATATCTGAATATTGATTTTCTTGGTGAAAAATCGAATTAATAAAATCCGGGACCTTCGATTCGAAATCTACAATTTAAAAACGTAAGCATTGATGTTCTAGAAAAAGACTGAAGCTTTTTTTATTTGACATAATTTTCCGAGAGATTTTTTAAAGAAGTTGATGGATTTCGTGAAAACGTGACATTCAATTCGAGCAATATTTGCCTATTTTTGCCTATTTTTGGGTATTCCTAATAAATAATGAATTCAAAACTGATATTATTCATATTGTACGCAATCAAACAATCAACAGGCATCGTATTGAAGGTTCACTGGGATTTCATTAATGAATCGGTGTTCTACGAGTGCAAAAAATTCAAGCAAATGTTGGTTTCTGATTTAATTGATGTGAATTTGTGGGAAAAAAAAAACAAACAAATTGTAGAAATGTGATCGAATCGCTTAAAATTTACAATTACGACGAGCAAATTCACGGCGGAAAGTGTCCGTTCGAAGAATTGATGAATGTCAAATTTATCGCAATGAAAAGTTTTGAAATCGCCAAATTCTGAAATTCGATGGCCGATGAATTTAGATGAGAATGATATGATCGATATAAGGAATGTCTCGATGAAGGATGGCGAATTGTTAATTCGAAAAGAAATTTTGCTGCCAAGACGTAAAAAGCCGGTGAGATATACATATGTATATGTATATTATTTGCTCGGATCCTATGGTTGGCTCGTCCTTTGCCTGATAAGGCGCCAACCACAGCATTCCAAGCTTTTCGGTCTTTTTCTTGGGCGGTCGTGGTCTCTATTAGAAGAGCTGTTCGATTAAAACCAAACTATTACATCAATTTGACACCAGAATTTGGCGGAGAACTCAAGTTCCGACGATTTGCGTCAAATTCGACGTTTGACACACATCGCATTTGACGCACATTTGCGGAGCCGATCGGAACGCAACAAATCACCAATTTCAGATGATCTACATCGCCGTCGCCAACACATCATTCTGCATTTCAAATTTTATGAGAATGAAGCTTTTTCAAAATCTGGCAACTTATAGTTTCATTGAAAATTCTTGCGGACGTAGCATTAATTGAAGTTGCCTTCGATCGAATGCTCTCAATTTCAGATTGCGATAAGGATTCGATCGTTTACAAAAAGAAAAATTGTATTGTATACCATGGCGTTATTAATTTCACTGGCAATATTCCGAAAGCGTCATTGGAAATGTGAGAAATATTATGGACTTTGTCCGGCGACTGCTGTAGATTTACGCGCATGCGCCTTGAAAAGGTCTCGCCACGCGCGAACGCTTATTTTGCTGTGAGCTGCTTCATTTTTCTTGATGAGTTTCACATTTCCTTGAATTTCCAAAATCATTCGATTAAAAAATTATGGAACCGCTTCATAAAATTTGAAATAGTCTGCTAGTCCGTGCGAGACCATTTCGAAAGACGCATCCCCCGTAAATCTACCCGCGTTCAGCAGTTGCCGATCATACCCCATTCTTTGTAAATTTTTCAATGCTCCACAAATTTCTGGAATTTCAAATCAATATAATATTTAGGTATTCAAATATACGATATATATTAAATGGGCAGATTATAATTAACAATACCAATCTGAAGTCGTTGACGTTTTTTCGAAGTTTAAATAAAATTGTTTGCAAATTTACCCGATATAATGACGTTTTAAAAAATTATGGTATGTTGGCTAAAAGGTCCATTTTTTTCCACAATCTAGGCCCCGAGATTTTTGGCCAAAAAAGTTTTTTGAATTGGCGCCAAAATCGCAGTGATTGCTGCGCTTTTTTTTGAATTTTCTCGATTTTCGATTTTGATTTTAAAATATTGTCGATGTCGAATGCCGAAAAATTGTCTTAAAAATTTAAAAAGAGGTCTCGATGGGCGGCATGCGCCTTTAACCTATCCTTATACTGTGCTCGTAAATCTACACTTCGATTTTCGCCAAGTCCACTGCCATGGCTTTTTTGACATTTATGATTAAATTCCACATAATTTTGAATTAATAATAATAAAAATAATTTGTTTTAAATAGAATTTTCGCATTACGATACCAATGCGATGCGCTTTAATCTCCCCCAAACCTAACAGCCGATTCGATAATGTCGATTCTCAAAAATTTGCAGATGGTTCGGCGATAGTGTTAATGGGAAAAAACACCAACTTGGATTTTATATTTAGGAGAAAAGTGAGCTACAATAATTGCAATCGAATTGTTGATCCTATCTATAATAATCGGATTTCTATTTATAGAAATGTTCGTGAATTTTTGTATGAAACGCTGATGGTAAGAAATTTTTTTTTCATTTCATATGCCTCCCACATTTTATAGGTCGATGCCACTGACAGAACCCTCAGCGGTACTACGGTACTATACAAAGAAAGTGAGTGATATAGTGGGGGTTGGGGGGTGGCTACTGTAATTGTTCAATGTCGCCAGACGCGTTGCGGTTCGCGTTGATTCTTTAAATAGACTTGAACCGCAACGCGTCAGATCAAAGTCTCCACAGGGCGCATTTGACGTGCCTGCTGAAAATTGCATTTAAGATCCCCCGCCTAGTGGGAGAGCAGGTTCCCACTCTATTGAAAAATGATGAAGAGGAGGTCCCCACTTACATCAAATCTGACCGCGTTTCAACTGCAAGGTCTTGCCGCGAAGAATTGCGAAATCTGCCAATTGAAATGACAACATTAGAATTATGAAGAAGATTTTCGAAAGAGCGCTCCTTAAGCTTTCAAATGATATATATATATAGAAGGCTCTGAGGAAAATCAAATAAAATATTTTGAGAATCAAATATTCAATAATAATCTTTAAATAATTTTGAGAAAATCTAAAATTTTTTGATATTTTCGACAGTTTGTTGAGAATAGATAAATTTAAAAATATTTTTTTTAATCTTATAAGATTTTCTAAAATTCTAAATGATCTCAATAAATTCTCAAATCTTATAATAATTTCTAAAGTTGATTAAGAAAAATCTAAAATATTATAGAGACACGTTAGTTTCTCAAAGAATCTTTTCTCAAAGAATGGGTCAGGGGCGGGTCGGGGCGGGTCGGTAGAATTTTCACTCTGACCCGCCCCGTTGCAAGTATGCTCAAAATATTTTATTCGATTTACCAGAGCTTGCCAATTTCGCGGGCGTAAACAACGGAGTGTCGTCAACGCCCTCGTTTTATTCCTACTTATTTTTTCGATTCCGTCGTTAGAATCAAGTGTCGAAAGGCAATTTTCGCAATTTTTTTTCACCGAAACCCTAGTAGAATTGAGAGACTATTCCAAAAAAAACTTCCGCAATAATTTTTCTTCATTTGGCCATTTTTTAAAATTTATATTTATGGTAGAATAAAATGAATTTTTTTAAAGCAAAAATTCACATATTATTTTCACCGATTGGAATAATATGAAAATTTGAAAAAAAAATTTATCTGAAACGTGCAAATCATTTGCAATGAATTCGTCGCAAAAAAATGCGCAATTATTTTTGGCCGAAATTTGAAATATTTTAGAATGCAAAGCGGGCAGAATTAGAACAATTACCAATGTTATCGAACAGTTCACCACGATAAATCAGTGTAGCGAGGTTAGAGGCCTTGTGATGTTCGATGCGACCATCGTCGAGCCGCATTATCATCGTCAAATTAAAGATCATGTGGGTTCAATTCCTAGAAACGAAAAGTTGGAAATTTCAAGTAAAATTCGATAACTTTTCACAATTTTCAATTTTTCTTTGTTGAGAATTTTCGAAAACAAAATGCAGCCCCTGATTGGTTATTTTTCAGCTCAGAACTATTGATGGAGGCTTATTTTTGGCCAATTTTGGTCGTCACAGTTATTTTCCTTACTTGAGTTATCTTCGAAGTGTCAAAGGTGACCCAAAGGAGCACCCATCAAATTTTCAAAAAGATAAATGCTCGAAAATTTTTAGGACCAGTTATTCTTGCAAACTTTACAAATTTAGATGTATTTCCAGATGGGCTTGTTTCTTGTAAAGGAATTTTCTATAAAAAGGTGAGTGTCAGATTCCAACAATTTGCAAAAATTAACATTTTGCCTCAGATTAAATTTCGATGCAGTTCAGCAATATTAGATTTATTTCAAAACGCCCGCAATAAAAATCCGGTGGAGGTTAATCGAAAGTTGATTAGTAAGAATATGATGATTGGAAATGCCGGATTCATTCGATTTCAGATAGTTACCATGTGCCAATTCTCCACTATCTTCTTCTATTCATCTCGTTCATTTCTTCAATTTTCAGCTTTATTATTTTTATTATTTGCTTTATTCGAAATAAACGAGCTACTTGAATATTTAATTTTACAAAAAAAATAGCTGAAATCGCAAAAATGAGCATTTTAACAAATTGTGGACCATCGCACTTGGTTCGAGGCGGCAATTCAAATTTGAATTGCCGCCTCGTCGGAATTCGGGTACCGTACTCTGGAGCAAACTCACCGCGCAGGTTTCTTCCTTTTTTTGAGAATGTAATATTTGAATATGCCTGCTTCTTCTGAATAATCAAATATTCAAATTTTGACAAACAATTTTTTTCGCAAAATTTCCCAATTTCAGCCCGAAAGAAAGGAGCTTTGAAATAATTTTTTGAAAATAATTTTTTTCTCAAATTATTCCATCGCACTTCATTCTGAAATTATAATAGATTGATTTCAAATAAATTTTTACACTTGAAAATGCCCGCAGCATTAAATCCATGTATTTGATCTTTCAAGTGGTCAATTTTTTTCAGAAACTGCCAGCGATTGAGCCAGAAAATTTCGACAAAATAACATATTTCAATAAAACCACGAAAAATCAACATTTAATTTTATAAAATAAATATTAAATAAACAATCTTACTTGAAATGGAATGATCGGGAAGAATCGATTGAAAAAATGCAATCAATAATTTAAGCATGGTGATGACTTATTGTCCATCGAATACATTTGCGGATTCGCGTAGACGCTGGCAATGCATTTCAGACGGTTGTGATCATTGAGATCGGCGAACTTCGCTGGGTAGAACTCGGGATCATAGTAGTAGATCAATCCTGGAAAAAAATGGATTGAACGCGACACGGCTTCATATCGACTCAACCTCCATAGCTCGCCGGAGCACACTGACACGGCACCTCTTTCCACGTCGTCGACCAGTCCGGCTGCCAGCTGAGATTCTGTTTGATTTGATCAAGTGGCACAGGCATATCTGAAAATCGGCCATGTCATTCAGTGGCTGTTTCGAATCGCTCACTTTTGCATGAGAGCGTCACGTCGGCGCCGGTTGGGACGGCGAAATAGCCGCAAAACCATTTGAACGCCTTGATTCGCCGCGATTCGCCGGGACCACCGGGATTGGCGGCGTCTTCGCCGGAGCACTCATTGTTGATGATGAGACTCGTCGGTCCGAAAATCGGTCCGGCGTATCCAGCCGCCGCGTTCGTCGCGCCGCTATTCCAGTTGCCCATCACGATGTCGTGCATCGCCGGCTTCGGCGGCTGCGGCGTCATGTAGAACCAGACGGACGCGAGAACCGCGAGCGGCGGATCCATTTTCGTCATCACCAGATTCGGCTCGTTCAACAAATCGACGCGAATGTTGCGCGTGGCGAGCCAATCTTGAAATTGCCCATAATTGTAGTTGTAGGAGATTTGGATTGCGCCGCGACCGAAATAGCATCCGCGGAACGGCGCCGCCTCGTTCGTCGAGTTGCGTGTCGAGCACGCGTAGAAGTAGGTGATTTGCGGTGAATCCAAGCAATACCTGAATCAACCATTTCTCGTCTCATTCATCCCGCTTTGCTACTTTCCCGCCGCGCTGCACGAGTTGCCATCGATCGGCTGATAGCCGGGAGTCTTGGGATCGAGGAACGAGCTCGTCGGACCGCCTTCGAACCAATTGTAGAATCCTCCTCGATAGAAGCAATTCGAGGCTTCTTGCGTTTCCATGGTGCTAAAAGAACATTGGTTTGCCAATAATTAACTTCTCATGGTTGTACTCATAGAGCGCGATATTATTTTCGCCAGTCTCCTGGATGGCGTGCGCGAAAAATGCCGCCAAGTCTCGCTTCTTATTCTCATCGGCAGTGTAGATCTTGAATTTTTTTTATTTGGTAAGAGCAAAGCGGGTCTAATTAGCTCAATTGCTACCTGATTCGTCACATTGATCGATGTTCCAAATTCGGGGAAATAGCGCGCGGCGATGATGAACGCTTCGTACGAGTACGGCCAACAACTGTGTGGTCCCCAGCCGAGGTTCGAGAACGGGAAAAGGTCCTTGGATGGGTCAATGAGTTGGCTTAATTGCGTTCGCCGCCTACCTCAAACATTTCTTTTGTGAACCATGATTCGAGCTCGGATTTCGGCAGATTGTTGGGATCGCTCGGCTGAACGCAATCAGCCGGCGGCCCGGTGCCATATTTCGTTGCTTTCGGGCAATCAGCAGCCGATCCGTAATCGATCGAAGCAACTATTGAGTTGTCTGAATTGTCATGTTGAGAGATTCATTAGGTTTGGATGGGGGGCTTTTCGGCAATTTGCCGAATATAAAAATATCGGCGATTAATTTTTTTTCAACGATTATTCGAAATATAAATTCCGAATTTATGCCAAATTATGCCAAAATGTTTTTTCCGACATAAAATTGCCGAAAATAAAAATTTCACAGCCTTGGTATCAAAGGATCATCGCTGTAAGACCCCCACCCATCTTGGATTCGATTCCAACAAATTAATTTATTTATTTTTACTACATTCTCAAATATAGGGTTTTTGAAATCGCCTTTTTAGCAGTTTTCAATAAATTTCAAATTTTTTACAGTCATAAGATTCAATATTATTTTTTTTTACCATTGTTAAAAATTATTATATGTAAAAATTGGAAAGCATTTCGTGAAGCTATTCTCAAAAAAAATCGAAATTCTACAAATTCTCAAAAAAACTCACAACATTGAAGAATAAAATATATAAATATTAGGCGATTCAACGAAATCATTTCGAATTCGACTGAATCAATCGCCGTCTAGACTCCGATTTTATACCAAATTTTTTTTTCGATGATCGTCAAAGATAATCTTTAAAATCTATGCGAAATTTGCATAGATTTAAAGATTATTTCGAAATTTTTTGTGACCTTCGTCGAATTTCGATTATCATGCGCCTTTAAATCGCATCTAATAGGCTGGGATCTTGTGTCAAAATTTCATTATTGCTACAGTATCCTTTAGGTCTCGAAACGAAGGCCACTCAAAAAGACAAGTCACGGCCACTTCTCATCATCTTTTTTTTCGTCCCTCCGAATCTTATCACTTCACTTCAACAACTTCCTTATTTGTCTCGACCCCCAAGTGATCTTTGTATTGTTTCGCGATAAAATCATTGAAAAATTCGCAATTTAAAAAATCCAACCCACCGTCATTGAAGCTATAATACAGGCGATTCGGGCTGGTTTCGTTCGTCGGCGAATCGTGCAATCGGCTATCTAGAGAATTGATCTGTAAAATTATCAATCAATCTGCTTTTTTTTTCTTCTAATAAAATTTTCAATTTCATTTTATGGCCGTGGCCTAACTTTTCAAATTTTCCAGCCGCCTAAATTTGTTTTTTTCAGGGAGCGAAATTTCAAACTTGAATTTCCCGAAATTTTTTCGAGTTTTCAAAATTTCAATATTTTGAAATAATGAAATTTTTTCAAATGCGATGGAAGAGGGAGGGAGATCAAAAAATATATTGAATACTATAGCAGAATTGAGATTTTTTTTTTCCAATTTCTAATTTTCCGCAGCTATTTCACCGAAAAACACCGTAACCTTTTGAGAATTGAATATTGAAATGATAAATTCTAAAAATATTTCATACTTCGTAAAACTTATTAAAAAGTAATAAACTTACCAAAAATGTTTAATTATTCATTGAGTCAATTCTAAACTATTATAGAGACACTTTTTCAGCCTCTCAAGAAGCTTAAAAAGTAATTAATATGATTTGTCTAAGCTGTCAATCAAACTCTCTATAATTAATAAAAACCGAAGATGCACTGGAATTTTATAACCGGTACTTTAATATCAACGGATTTGTTGGTGAACAAAGTAAATATATTATTGATTGACGATGGCTTATGTCAATATGACACATATCCATGATATCTTTTTGACACTTATTGAAGGCTCAATGAATTTTGGGAGGGGGGGGGGTCATTGTTTGAAATTTCAGAGTCTATATAGTCATATAGCAATCATATTCAATTTGATCAATAATTAGAAGTGTCTCAAAACTACGGTATCCATTAAAGGCGCATACAAAAATATAATAATTTCGCGTCAATATTCTCAACCATTTTTATGTATTATTAAATTGGAAAATTCAATTTAGAATATTCAAAGTGAGATTGATTCGAAATGATTCTCTTTTGAGAAATTGCAAAATTCGAATTTTGTGTTTCAATAATTTATTATTAGCTATAAAGAATTTTTGACCATCCACCACAAGTTTGAGGTAATTGAATCTCTGATGATGATCATCTGATCGAATCATCGGATTACTGTAGCTTAATTGCGCAAAAATTAAAAAGGGACTAAAAAAGAAGAGCTCTTCAATTAATTGCTTAAATTTTAACCGATGATATTAAAAACCTAGATAGTAATTACAGCTGACAATTTCGAGCCAAATATGAATTCTATAATTTTCCAGACATCTAATTAAAGCTTTAATAGGGTTAAAAGACTTTTAAGATTAAGAGAACCTAATCGAATTCAATAAAAAAAGAATTAAATGGCGAACCTGTTCATTCTCGATTTGTAAAATGACGGCATTAAAAATGGATAGCAACTGATTCCATAGCATTTGTCGGGCGGCCGAGCACGATTTATCGAATCGCGTGCGGAAGCGGAAAAAATGGTGCAGTCAGAGGGGGGGGGGTCTGTGTGTGGTCGCGCCCCTCTCCGGAGAGATCGGCTCGCGCCGCGCGCGGAAAAAAAACGGTGAACCCTCTCCCCCCAACCCTCTTCCATCGAAACCGTGCGATCAACAGACAGCAAACAAGCACTCAAACAGCACCACAACAAAAACACGATGATGAAAGATTTATTAAATGAATGAAAGCACGAAACTGGACACAGTCGGACGTCTGAATGGTTGCGCAATTGTCTGTCTGGTTTTGCACAATAGGGAGACATGAGGCTTTCCGACGATCAAAATTTGTTGCATTCACGTGTTTACTTTTGTTGGCGGTTTTTTTTTATTCAATTGTTCTTCTAAAAAAAATGAGCATTTAATGAAAACCAGAAAATGTCGAAATTTGACGATTTTTCATTTGTGGGAATTTTTGAACGAAAATTTTGAAATTTTATTGCTATTTTGAAAATCAACGAATTTCGCTGAAAACAATTTTTTGGCTTTTAATTTTTGCATTTTTAGTAAAAAAAATCTATCAGAATACTGAAGGGGTTTCTTTTTTTTTGAGGCTTCTCATTCTTTCAATGAATTTTTGATTTACGACCAAATTTTATTGCTCATCTTTTTCAGAACAATCCAAACCATTGTGTGCCCACTATAATCCAGTCTTCTGGTTTTTTTAATTGTCGTTTCAAACTAGAAATTCAAATTCTCTATTCCAAATTCACGCGCTAACTTAAATGTGCGTAGGCTAAAATGCAGAGTACGCAAACACGCACGTCTTCTTCACCTCGTTACACCATGGCACATTGCCAATTTTTTTTAATTTCGATATGTCGTTTGAAATCAATAATAAAAGATTTTCTTCTTCTGGAAGCAATGTGATTGGCGCCTTGTGAATCAATTATGATCGGTGTTTGCGGACATTCCTCCCAACTAATATATTATATAATAAGAAAATGAGCACCTTGAATAATTGTGGACCATCGCACTTTCTTCGAGAGCGTTTTTTTTTTATTTTGAATTTATACAGTGAGAATTTTAAACAGCAAAAAATAAAATCAAATTAACAGTAGCGCGAGAAAATGTGTGCAAACACCGCGACGCAATAATCACGTATTTACGAGTGTTTCTTTTTTATACAACAAAGTTGAATTGCGTGATTTATCATCTTTTTTTAATCAATAAAATAATTTAAATATTTTTTAAATTGATGCCACGTGGCACGTATTTTCTAGAATTCCAAATAATCAAAATTTTGCCAAGATTGATTTTCATCAAAGTCATTTCTGGTTTTTTTTGTTATAAATTTTGATCTACCTCACCATTCAATAATTTTTCGAGCCGAATTTCAACACCTGGAATTTTTATTCGAAAAAAATGAGCCCATCCCATTAGTATTTATTTATTATTTTTTCGCAATGCCTCAAAATTCGAAAACGAAAAATGCGATGGGAGTTTTCGTGTTTTTTTTTTCTTCTTTTTCTTCTACGTCTGTATGTGTGTGTTGTCGATTAAGCAGTCACGCAAACATTTTTTGTTCTCTTTCAATTTTTTTTTGTAAATTACATATTCTTTTTGACATCTCGACAATTTTGATGGCCCTTTTTGTCAGTGATTCATCCTCGATTTTTTTTGTTGTTGTTGACGATGTTGTGATAAATAGAAAACATGTCACATGAGAGGAAGACGGAAAAGAGATTGTCGATTTTTTTTATTATTTTTTCATTTCTCTTTTTTTTGCCTCTATTATTTTTCCCATTTTTGGTCTTCAACCAACAAAAAGAAAAAATAGAAGAAGAGGAGAATCTGTGTGTTTTCTCGTCAACACCGATTATCTTCACATTTTTTCCATTCACTTCTTTTTTTTTTGGCCAATGATGAAAAATTGGATTCCAATTTGATCTACTAGATTCCAATTATATGCCCAATTCGCGTCCTGATTTTTTATTTCTAAATTCGTCCAAGAAAAAAAAGATTTTTGAAATTTGATCTACCACTTTTTTTCCCAAAATGTTTCTTTCTACCCTCTTAAGCTGTTTTTAGTGTTTTGTTTGCTCGGCGAGCGTCCGCGTAGGTCAAACCCGCTGTCCATCTAACAAATTTGATGAATTAGTGCAGATGGGTCTCGTATGGAAAATGATTTAAGCAAATTTTGGGGGGAGTGCAACTCTAACGATTTTTTCATTTCTAATTGAAATTTTCAAATCCATTTTTAAGTGAATCCTATTCAGACAATTTTCGGATCAAAAAACCTGAAAATTTTCAAATTATTGTATTTTTTTTAAGTGGGATGTTGTGAGACTCGACACAAGAAAAAGCGTAGTGCGCCTTTAATTACAGTATCCAAAAATTGTTTACTAAGCTTCATTATGACCAATTTTCCATGTATTAAAAATTTCAATAAAATTGTAAAGAAAACCCGATGTCAATTTTTTTAGAAGAAAAAATTATTAAATAATTAATTAAAGGCTCAATAACGCGTAAAATGTGCTCTAGTAGCCGGCTTTTTTCCAGGTTCAAACTATAAAATTTTTGGAAAAATTCCAAAAAACAAATTTGCTCAAAAAATTGTTTTATTTGTATAATAGAGTATCATATTTTCAGTAAATGGCGATTCGATTTTTCTTTTTCGAACAAAGGTCACATTACATGCCAATATCTCGTTCTCCTTCATCGTCTCGTTCAAAATGAGAATCTCGCACGCATAAACCATTCGCGTCAGCCGGTCGGCCTCCACTCGGAAACCACGCGTTGTTTCTCTGCGTCTCTTCATTTCGGTGTCTCTCGTCGCCAAAAAAATTCGAAATTGATTCAACGTTCGGCCATTTTTCGGCGCCCACAGGTCAACACTTCATTCATTTTTTTTAATTTTGAATTATTTGTTTATTTGTTTGTTGTTGATACTCCAGCTCCACTGAATTTGTTTGTCTTCATATCTCGTTTCTCGTCGAACGCGTATTGCGCGAAGGCGGACTAATTTTGGAATGGAATTTTTGCTAATAGGTTATAGCAAAATAAGTGGAGGCATTAAAATTTTTTTAATTTTATTTAAACAAAGTTTTATATATCATTCGAAAGATTATTATATGTTCTTTCTAAATTTTTCTTCAAAATTTGCTTTTTTTGATTGACAGATGCCAAAAAAGCATTTCTTTTACAACAACCCAATAATTATTTTCGATATAGTGATTTAAATAGCAAAAATTTTTCGTAATTTTCCACCACGAAGCTTGCTTTTTTTGCTTTTTGCACTTTCCAATCAGCAAATATTCCAGAAAATAAAATGTCGACAATGATGACGACGGTCGCTGGCTGCAAATTTTGCGATATTGCGGCGGCCAAGAAGAAGGATGAGATACTGAAAGAAAAAGAAAAGGTTCGTATCACTTTAATACAAATTCTTATCGTTTTTTTTTTATTATTCGTAGAGAGTGAGAATGATAAGCTAAGAAAAGTGACGCTGAACGGAATTTTTAAAAATATTTTTAAATGATTAATGGAATGTCTATTACTTGCAAGCTTCTTTCACTAATTGTCATGAATAGAGTGAATTATTGGCCCTAAAAATATTTTTCACAATTTTAAAACCAATTTTTGGTGAAAAATGCGGAAAACCGCTTGAAAAACCCCTGAAAAACTTAATTTTAATTTGAAAAAAGAGAAATTTAAAAAATGGCCGCGGACTAATTTTTTACGGCCGCGGGGGAATTGATGGACGAATGGCAGCTCTTGCGATAATAATTATCTTTAATTAAATGAATTAGGGGTGCCAATTAATTTCAACATAAAAAAAACTCAGTGAAGTGATTTTTGTTCCGCGCGAAATTCAAAATTTTGGCCACAACGACAACACATGTATTTTCAGTAATTTTCAGTTCATCTTTTTTTTTCCAGTGCATCGTTGTGAAGGACATCAAGCCGAAATCGAAATTCCATTTTCTGGTGATTAGCAAACAGCACATTCCGAAACCAACCGATTTGACAATCGCCGACATTCCATTAAGTAATTGGGGCTGGCAATTATCGATCAACAAAATTCGAACGCATGTTTAGTTGAGCAAATGGAATCGGCCGGTCGCGAAGTGCTCAGAAAGCATCTGAAGAAGTGCGGCGACGCCGACACCATCGAGGATATGCTTCGCGTCGGCTTCCATTATCCGCCGATGCTCAACGTCCACCATCTTCATATGCATTTCATCTATCCGATCAGTGAGGTAACCCAAATTGGTGGTCTCGCCACGATCTCGAATCATCTAGATGGGCTTGATCTCTCGAAAATTGACGTTCCGACCGGGAAAGGTGTTCAAGAGCACGAGAGATGTGATCGAGAATCTTCGCCAATCGGCCGGCATTGCTGATCCATTGGAGGACAAGCACGAGGGTCCCGAGAAGATCTCCGCCCACGCGATAGGCCTCGGCTAATAATCATCATTCGAGTTGTCCAAATTTCTCGCAAAATTCACTTGTTCGCGTCTTTCGTTTCATATTTTGATTTTGCTCTCGTTGTTTTTTTTCGCTTTTGAATGTTTCCCATTTGCTCACTGGTATATTCAATTCGATTGTATATATACATAATAAATTGAAAGAAGAAGGGCGTTGCCAATTTGAAGGACACGGAAATTAATCTGATTATCCATTCAAGTGGATATTTGTGAATGAATGAGCCATTTTCTTTGTTCGTTCCTATATCAAATTTGTGCGGCAAACATGCGTCGAGACCCGAGTCGTTATTTTTTCCTCAATTTCTTTGAAAGTCTACCGTACTTTCTGGGTCGTTTGAATTCTTCTGGTTGATTCGACCTGCGGACAATATCAAGTGCTCATTATTGGCTTTGCTACAAAGCCAAAAAATCGATTAAATTTAAAGGGGCTGAAATTCTGGAATTTGGTCTCTAAAAAAGTGCTTAAATATAACTTTAAAAAAAGAAATCAATTCGACATTTTTTTTTCAATAAAAGGCATAATGGCATATTTTGAAGAAAGAAATATTTAAAAAGGGCATTTGATAAACTTTTGATTGATATATAGCATTTGATATTAAAATAAAATTTTGCTGAAAGAAAAATCCATTCAAAATTTGTCCGCAGATGGTTTTCTAGACATTGTGGCTTCCTCAAAACTAATAGTCGAACCTCGATTTTTTCCATCGTTTACATTATTCATTCTTGAAGAAGACGTTAGCAACCGGAGAAATTGAAGAAGCTCAATTTCAGAATATTCGAGATAATCGCTCATTTCTCGTGGACCAATTCGAATTTCCGGCTCGGGTCTCGTATGGAAAATCGATTTGGAGCAAATTGTGAATTTTAAGTACATATTTTGGTTGGTAGCAAAATTGTCAAAATAAAATTAAGCGCGAAGTTCAAATATTCAAAAAATGAAATCGTCTGTCTACATCATCTATTGAATCCACACGATTTCTTTTTCTTTTTTTTTTTTCAAACCAGCAAAAGCCATACAATAAATCGTGGGAAAAAAATCAGGGCTTCTAACTTCGCAATACCCAAGACTTGTTTTCCATTAGCATAAATAATGCCGTCTGCGGACATCGTTCGAGGCCAACAAGTTAATGTAGCTTCGCAAATTCCACAAAAATGACCCGCCTTTTTTTTGCCGGCGGGCTCTTCAAGTCATACCCCCCTTTGATGTGTTCTTTTAGGGACCACTCCTGACATATACATATTTGATGGCTGTATAAAACGAATATTATGGTTTTCCAAATCCATCGCCAACATTATTTAACCAGCATGCTCTTTTTAGGAAAATTCGAGCAGTCGTCGCTCACTTAAGATTATTGCAATCTTCTTTTATTCATGCCCGCAAAAAAATTCTTGACGGGCCATTGAGATTTTGCATTTTTTTTCCTCGTCGTTTTTTTTTTGCTGAAAACTTTGAATAGGTAAAAAAATAGGTTTTTGGCCTCGATGATTGTCGGCAGACGAAATTCTTGATCATCATAATCCCATTTTGCTGTTTTCTTCTCGAGCCGCCGCACCGCGATCATTGAAATCCGTCGACGTTTGGAAACCTCATTACTGAACCTCATTTCCTTCGCAAACTCTTCACGTGCAAATCCAGCGCCGATTAAAATTGGGTGGTTCCTGGAAACGATTTCAAATGGTCCCGAACCGAATGAATTTCAGATTTGAATTGAAATTCGCTAGTTCCTGTTATTGTCAATCGCAAAAATTTCAGAGATATTTTTCGTTTTTCTGAAGCTCATCCCTCTATCTGAAAAGTAGAAGTCTCAATCTGACAATTACTAACATTTGTGCGCAAAATTCACGTGGGGAGGGGCTAAAATTTTGAAGGTCCATATCTCGATAACTAGAAGTTTGCGCAGGTAGCGACCTAGTTCATTCGATTGGAAATTTTCTAAAGAATCTGTATGCAAAAAATAAAAAAATTTTTAAGACGGACAGCAAAATGACCTCCCTTGTAAGATATGTTAAAAGAAGGAACCCAGAAAAATAAAAAATCTTTTTGGAATTAAGTATGTTTCATTTTCATGTGCATCTAGAAATCTAGAATTACCAGCCTCATATATTTTTAAGAATTTTTCAAATTCATTAATTATTTCAAAATCACCTCTTCCCCGTTTTGTCCTACATTTGAATTGCCGCCTTGGGTCTCATATAGAAAAACTTTTAGAAAGCGGTTTACCATATAAATTAGTATATGCTTTTTTTCGAATAATTTCAAGAATTCAAAAAAGAGGGAAAAAAGAAATTATATATACTAGGTGATTGCAAAAAAATGCAATTTTTAAAATTTCAACTTTAAATGAAATCAATTCGACATTTTTTTTTTCAATAAAAGGCATAATGGCATATTTTGAAGAAATATTTGAAAAGGGCATTTGATAAACTTTCGAATGATATTTGATATTAAGGTAAAGAAAAACGAAATGATCTCTAAAATGCAAAATAAAAAATTTGTCGGTGCGAGACCATAGTGAAGGCGCATGCGCGTAAATCTACACGCCGACAAAATCGAAACCTGCATTTCTTTTGTTCTAAAATGAAAAATATTAATATTAGAAATAATTTTAGATTTTTGGAAGCTTCTCGTAATTTTTCAAACTACTGTAGGCATTAAAGGCGCATTCAAAAAAGCAACTCAAAGATCGTGAAAAAGCTTCGTCATACAACCACACAATGCTTCTTTTGTATGATTTTTTCTTTGAAAAACCGAATTTCAACAAAAAATATTAGCCAGCCAACATTCTCATTGATATCTCGCCTCGCTCATCTTGTTTTTTTTTTTCTCGAGAAAAAAATTCTCAATTAAATTTTCTCGTCGCAACGCGAAAAAAAATAGTGCATTGTTGCTCAATGTTTCCACGAAATGACCTATTTATCCATTGAAATTGGACAAACGAATGAGAAGAAGCTGAAGAATCTTCGGACCACCAACAATTTGCATTCGTTTTTTTTTTTGAAGATAAATGGTTGATTTCGCCGTGTTCTTATTGGCCATTCACCAAATTTCGTATTCGTCTCACGGTTTGAGAGAAATGAGCTCTAAGAATTTTCAAAAATGACTAAACCCTATGAGAACGACATATTTTCGAAATGCGGGTCACACATCAAAATTCCATTTTTTTTTTCTCCAATGGCCGATTATGATTTACAGTTGATCTTTCAACGAAAGTCATTTTTTTAACCTCTCCGTTTACAATTTTTTTTGTAACTTTGCACACTTAGACTAGAAGGTCTTCTGAGTGTGTGCACAAAATTCTAGCCTTTTCTGGGGGGATTTCAGACGAGTTATGGTCGTCTGAAAATTCAAGATGATTTTCCATTGCCAACAGGTATTTCGACAAGCAGTTACATATTAGCCGCTAGGCTCCACCACCATCGATGTAGAGGTGGTGGGGTGTGATAGTGCCTGGCCTAGTAATTTTGTGATGAAGGTTCGCTCCCCATCCGCGGTTTTTTTTTTCACAGTAAATCCTGATCCTGATGCAACAATCGATGCGAGTTTTTTTGAAACACATGATTTCATATCAAAATATGATTTTCATCTGAGATTTCCCAAAGTAATTGTCGGGTATTAGCCCAGTCAAAAATTTCGAGCCACCTCAAATTGCGATTCTAAATGGCGAACAAGCTTCATAATTAGATTTTCGTGGTATGAGTGAAAATCAACTGTGTGACCTTCACCATTTCCGACGAACCGTGACCGCGACACATCAAATTCTTGAGCTGAACCCAATTAAATTAGCCGCCTGTTTAGTATTTTGTGTTGAATTTTTGTTTTTTTTTTCTTCGTCTTCTTCTTCGAGTGCCACTCGCCAACTTGTCCGAACTCATCGCTCTCGGTTGAGTAGTCATTCATACATTCAAATATTCCTTCGCGAGCGCTTCTAATTGAACAACCACAGAGCTCAGACGATTTGGCTCATGATTATTTAATGGCGACGACGTGTTGCTTCAACAACTTTCTCTCTCCCTCTCTCGAACGTTTGAATCAAAAAATGAATATTTGAAATATGTGTGCTGCGGACATTTTTCAACCAAATTTGGAAAATTGTGGCGTTGAAAAAGGCGAAATAGTTTGAATAATTTTTCAAATTCCACCATTTAAAATTGATGTTGTTTTGTTGATCGCTAAAGAATGGTCCTATTAATGGTCTCGGTCGCCGTGTGCTGGGCTCTCTATTATTCCGGAGGGGGGCCACCCGCAAAAATGCACAACCAAATCAAATTATATCGTTTTATTTATGTCGTATAGATTTAATGTTTCATAATAATAGCAGGGGAAATGTACTCTGCAATTTGGAGCCCCGACCAAAATTGGATTTGTTTCGTTTATATTGTTTTTGCTCATGTGCCCCTCCACCGCGTGGGTCCCGGTTTTGCGTTTCCAAAAAAACTGGCCTCCGAATTTTCCACAATATAAATTTAAAAATTCGAAATTGTTCGCAAAAAAATTTTTTTAATCGTAAGTCTCAAAAATTGAAAAAAAGCGTAATTTGCGTGGGTGGAAGTTTGGAGTATTTTTCAGAATCCAATTTTTAAATAATAGATGGAAAAGCCCCACACTTCAAATCCGTGAATGTCCACACGGAGAAAAAAAAATTAAACCTAAGTGTTTAATTTTTTCATTGCTGAATTCAATGGTCCGAGAAGGTTGGTATAAACGCGTGTTGGGAAGTTTGCCTACGACCCAAATGGCTGCAAGCGGGTAGGGGGTCCCGTTTTTTGTTGAATCTCAACAACAGAAATTTCATTGTGAGCATCTGCGGACATTTTCCGGGAACACGCCACAACCGCCTACGTGCCGCCAGGGGGGTCCTTTTTTACAGCCTTCGTTTGAATTGCGTCAATGAGTAAAACGCACGCGGACCCAACGCGGGTCTCGGCGCGAACCATCTCAACTCCTTCCTCATTTTTTTATTAAACCGACTTTCTCCATAAAAAAAACATATAATTAAAAATTCTCGACAGCGTGTTCACGGTTCAGCAAACATTTTTTCTTTTCGAAATGTGTCGAATTTTCTTCCGCGACTTCCAAATATAGACGAATCGCACAACAACAAAAAATCTTTAACCTCAAATAGTTTGGTCCCATCAATTTGACACTCATTGACCCCTTCAATGTATATTTGCCCCTTCATTGTCGTCGAATTCCGAATGGTTCTGAGAATTGTCTCTAAATGGCTCTCGTAATTTGACATCGCTCAAATTAGGAGAAGCTCAAATTGAATGAAATGTTTTTGTCTCATATTAATAAGCAATGAAAATTTGTTTCCAATTCGATTCGACAACTTCTCTCATTCTTTTTTTAATTAAACGTACAATTAATTTAACGGCGACGCGTCAAAAAAATAATATGATGACATTTGAACTAAACGCGCTACAAGCATTCAAAGGCGCATCGCTGCGAGACCAGTACTCGTTTGTATCAAAATTGGCAACCACCTTTCCAACGAAAAATTGATGAGAGCTTCAAAAAAAAAGAATTTTTCTCATTTTTTGAACTTGTCTTCAATTCATCCTCTAATTGAAAGAACGACACGCGTCTTTAGGAAATCTGACGACATTTTTTTGTATGCGACAGCGAAAAAAGAAAGAAAGAAACGAGCCTCTTGATGCGTATTTATTTAATTTTCTCGATTTCTCGTTGGAAAAAATTAGGATTTTTTCATGGAATTAGAAACTCCAATTGCTAAAATCTGCCCAAAAAATTCGGAAGCGCCTTTGACCATTTTCACATCGAAAACCATGAGAAATTGATTTTTTTGAATTATCTGAAACCGAAAGAAAATTTATATTATAATGATTATATAATGAATGTGTAATTTGAAAAATTTGAAGTTATTGAATTAAAATCAATAAGAAAAAAATTAGGATATCATTTTCGATGTTTCCATTTTCACATTGTCAGATTTTCCAAAAATATATAACAAAATAAATTTTCAAACCATTTTGCTGAAGGGTTTTTTATTGATTGTTATAGTCGGCGTCTGGCGACTGCTGTACGTGGGTAGATTTACGCGCATGCGCCTTGAAAAGGTCTCGCCACGCGTGAACGCTTATTTTGCTGTGAGCTGCTTCATTTTTCTTGATGAGTTTCACATTTCCTTGAATTTCCAACATCATTCGATTAAAAAATTAACGAACCGATTCATAAAATTTGAAATAGTCTGCTAGTCCGTGCGAGACCATGAGAAAGACGCATCCCCCGTAAATCTACCCGCGTACAACAGTCGCCGGACGCCAACTATATATTGGGTTAGGTTTTGCATAAATAAAAATTCTATAAATTTCGATTTCAAATTTCATTTAAATTTCAATTCCCAAAATTACAGGGTGGTTCATAATTATGGAAACACAAGTTTGAGGCCTTCTGGCAGATTCTGGCGCATTTTTCGTGGACCAACTTTTATTTTTTAATTTTTCAGCATGTTTTAATTACCATTTTCCCAAATTTTCTAGCTCCTAGCTTCATTTTTACTGGAATGGTAGCCAATAAAACAAATGCAATGAAAACCAGCACAGTGCGTTTGTCATCACATTATTTAAATTCAAATTTGAATTACCGCCTCGAATCGGTGCGATGGTCCACAATTTGTCAATCTCAGCAAAAAAAGGACGAACCCCGTGGTTGGCTTCGGTTTAAACATTGCAGTTCCCAACAAATTTTTTATCCTACCAGTACGACATTCCAATTACACATCGCCCTCAATTTAGCGTGTCGGGGAGCAACTTTTGATTCGACTAATTGAATTTTTCCCATGTTCGTCCCGATCGAATCGCTGAGAAGTCATAAATTTTTTTACTAGTCATTTTCTTGGAAAAAATGATTTAAAAAACTGGAATATATATATATATAACCTCTTTTAAAAAATCCGCGACGAGACCTATGTCGTCAGGTGTGTTACGGTCAACTCTTTGGGACCCCTCTAGGTGAGACCGGTTCACATAAAATTGCAGACACTCGATTGAAAATTTCTCATGGAAATTCCACAAAAAAATGCTCAACCCATAATTTCGTCTTTTTTTGTTGTTGAGGAATACTGAAATTCCAGCTTAATCTAGAATTGAGGTGCAATCTCTTTGAAGAGAACCTTCGAGACAATCATTTCTCGCAATCGTATTCATAGGCTGATGTTCCGGTGGCGCTTCTCGACGCAATGAATCATTCGAATGCAAATTGATGAAGCCCATTTCCGTTTGGTAACCGCATTAGCCGAATTTTGGTGGGGGGGGGGACAAAGTTTTGAGGCATAATTCGAAATTCTTTTAAAAAAAATCCGAATATGCAATTTTAAAAACGAATTCTTTAAAAATTGTCAAATGTGTGCAATTTTGCGTGCGTGTGTATGACACGTTTTCGAACCGGGGGGGAGGCGCGCATCTTTTGCAGAAAATTCAAATTTTTTAATCAACTTTTTTAAAGGCGCAAGCCAAAAAATTAAAATTTCGCCTTTTGATCATTCGTCGAATTCGTCGGCCATCGATAATTGCCTCAAATGAACACACGAGAGTCCTTCTAGGAGTTCGCCTTTTAATTCGATTTCTTCTTCTCATTCATTTTTTGTGTGTTGCTATTCTATTTTCAAGAACGCCGCGAAGCGTCGAGCATAATTGTTGTCAGCGGCACACAAAGCGTGTGAATTTGCTGAAAATCTCTCCAGACTGATCACATTTCCAGCAAAAATCCAACTCTTGCCCACCTCGAACAGCTGTTACAGTAAGATTTGTCCTTCAAAAAAAATTTGAAATATTGAGCGAACAATTTAAATGTCGATTTTACTCTAAAATATTCATAATGTTTCCCATTGCTCATAAATCATCAGCTTTAATCGCTACGAGACCCAAGCCATGTTTTTCGGTGAACATACACCATAAATAATATATAATATAGATTCTAATGTGATTGAATGCAGTTGAAATAATTTTTCTGATTTCTAATCGCCAAATCAAAAATTGTGATTTTTGATTCAATGCAAAAAAAGTGGGAAATCCGAATTCCGCACGAAATTCTCACTTTTCTTAATCATGACGATGTCAAGAATATCAAATGAGATAAATAGACACACACAAAAATACCTTATTTGGTGATGAAGCGTAATTAATCTGAGAGACCCCCCGTGTGTGTTTTTTGTGTTTCTTCTCGCTTCCAAAAAAATAAATGGCAGCGCTCATATTTTTCATGTGGGCTCCAATTTCTTTTTTTTTTTAATTAAACCCAAAAAATCATTTATTTGATTTGATGCCAAAACACTCAGGCTTTTAATCCATTGAAAGAATCGAAATTTTTCCTTTTAATTGTCCGCAGATCAAATATGCTATTCCAATACAACATATGTATTTTCCTTCTTTGAGTTTCGGTTTTGATACTGCGAAAAAATCCATTCTAATATCAAAAAAGGGTCTGATCATTCAAATTTGAGAATACTCTAGTTATGAATATTGTAAATTGGGTTTCCATATTCGAGCATCTCCCACTCGCCATCTCAATTGAGACATGTCTGCGAAAATGTATCTCCATTTAAAATTGATTCCGGGTTGCCATTTACAAATGCAATTGCATTTGCATCATTTTTTCACAATTCCATTCTGCCGACATCCATCCGGCTTTGATAATATCCATATGCGTTTGATCGTTCAAAAAAATCAGTAAGCATTCAGGGCCTCATTTTCCTGCTTTTTGTCGAACACCTCATCGCGCATTATGACACGAGTCTTTCCAGAATCCGCTTGAGATGCCCAATTAGACATGTACCAGAAGTTGTCGCAACTCATCACCGCCGTCGAGACCGTCATGTGTCTCGTCGGAATCGTCACCAATTTTCTAGCGCTCATCATCTACACGCGTCCGAACTTCCGCAAAAAGTCCATCAATGTGCTTCTGTCGGCGTTGTCGGCGGCCGATTTGGGCGTATGCCTTCTGGCGATTCCAGTGTTCGCCAGCAAGCAGTTCGAAGCCTGGATATCCGTGTACCTCGTCGCTGTCATCATGGTCTACCTCTATCCAATATCGATCATGTTTCAATCAATGTCGGTTTGGCTTTTGGTTTCGATAACCATTGATCGCTATTTGGCAGTCTGCCATCCATTCATGGTCAACACCTATTGTTCGAGGTAAACGAATTCATGGATCATCTGAAATTTCTCGAAATTTCCAGAAATCGCGCGATTGTCATCGTCATTTTCGTTGTGATATTCTCAATCGCCTACAATTTTGTGAGATTTTGGGAATATTACATTGATTTCAGTAAAGCTACAGGTAAATCCAACCAACTAATTTAAACCAAATAGAATTTTCTCATTTTTTGGAGAGGGTGAAAGTAGCAAATTTTTTGCATGCGCCTTTAATGTCTACTGTTGCCAAATCGACAATTAAGTTTTCTGTCTTCCCTAATAATTTTCTAGACTTCTTTTGCCATTTCAAAGGCATTGTTTGAAAAAAAAAATTTTTTGAAGTTAAGCATTTTTTGAAAAAAAATTTTCTTTGAAATTTTTTGAAGTTACCCCCCCTTTAAAGGACAAAATTTTAATATTATAATCTCAAAAATCCAGCGTCCTTCTTAGTTTCTTTATAAATCCTCTTACGCAAAAAAAATTGCAAATTTCAGAAGGTCTCGAAGGAATGGTCCAACCGCTTCTCCGCGCCGATGAGATTTTCATGCTTTGGTACCAAAATGTGCTAACACTTCTTTCTCAATTCTTGCTACCACTTGTCGTTCTGTGCGGCTTGAATCTTCAGGTTCGAGAAAGAAAAATGCAAAAAACCAATTTTGGTGATGTTATAGGTTGCTCGAACAATTCTGCGCGCTTCCGAGCAGCGTCGAGAACTGGTGGCGAGTGTGAAACGCGAGCACTCGACGGCAAAAATGATGATAATGGTGGTGATTGGTAGGAGTTCGAGCATTTTCAGCGCAAAAATCCACCCAAATTTCCAGTTTTTGTCTTCTGCTACACATTTTCGTTTGTGTTGAACATCTCCGAAATCCAGAATGCCGACTTGTTTCAAAGCGAAATGGGCTATCTGCTGAATGATATCAATAATGTGCTCGTCGTCGTCAATTCATCATCAACATTCATTTTTTACTATAATTTTTCCACAAGGTAAACGCGTTTTCTCGCAACCCTGGTGTGGCCTAGAAAAAGTGTCCTCAAAGACTAGGTTCGGCCACGGCCACACTTGATGGAATTAAATGAATAGATATATATATATTGTGTTTACAATTTCAAAAACAAAATATTAAATTAAATGTTAAAACTGTGTGCCGAAATTGTATTTTAGGTTTTTCTAGGCCGCAGGCCATTTTAACTCGATTTTTTCGAACGCCCAATAGCGATAGATTAGGCGCTGAGGAGAGACGCAGGCGGAGAGAGATAGAGAGAGAAAAAAGGATTTTTCCAAAAAAATTTGCAAATTTTTCTAGATTCCGCAACCAAGCGCGCTCTCTATATGGCATTCGATGGTTCATGAGTCGAACAAAATTCACAGTATGCAACAACAATAATCCAGTAAGCCGGTCCGAAACAACCAAATTCAAAGGTATTGCTTTTTTCTCAACAAATTTATTCTATGCCATAGTAATATTTACTATAGAATCATACGTCTCGGCGAAGCAATCATCGAAAAAGTACCTAATATGCCGTTTGGATAGAAGGCATAGCCAGCAAAACACAGCCAAAGCGACACTATCATGCGATATTTAGGCATTTCATTTTTTTGTCATTTACGGTTTCATTGCTTGTTCTTTTCGATATGCGCCACCTTCTTGTTTTCTGTTTTTTCTTTTCATCTACTATTTCACGGGTCTCAATAAACTGTTCTTTTTTTATCGCTCAGTATCAATGGTCGACGTGTGACAATTGTGACTTAATTTGCGAGTCCGGTACGCCAAATAGACATAAATCAAACCTCCCACCCTCAATTGAATGGTTACAGGTTCCAATTGCCTCATATGAATTGCGTATAGTACTGTTTTACTATAGTTGTTTAAAATTTCGCATAGATATATAATTATTTGTAATGGATCTATTCAGTGAATGTAAATTAAAAAAACTCATCTATTAAAGAATACCACAGGAGAGAATTGAAGCTTAAGGTCTTTCAGAATATCGAAAGCATGTGCAAGAAATTTCTCCGCGCCGGAAGACCAAATGGTATTTTCAAAACCACTATCGGTAAAATTGAAGTTTTAGGTATGACGGCTTGGAAATTGTGGGATTCGATAACGCGCGATTTCAATAGACATGTGTTGCGAATCCAAAATGCTCGATCTGGAACTGGAACATTGGAATCATCATTTCCGTTTGCGGAATATTTACAGTTTTTGGATGGAGTCAGACACAAAAGACAAGTTAAAAAGTAAGTTTACCTGTTTTTTGTTAATTTTTATTTACTACAGTGCCTTCATATGCGGTGATAAAAGTATTGAGTTGCTTGAATCGCGGGGACCCTCGGATAGTCCGAAGACTGCTAAACGAAGAAAATCAGGTTTCTAGCAATAAAAAATGGAGTTTTATGGGTATGTTTTAGACAGCGATGAGCTGATGAGTATGTTGCGCGAGACGAACAGCGAAATCAAGCAGCTGCTTAGATCGAATGATGAGGAAGCCAAGGAAACCCCCAAATGTAAATTTGACCGATTGTGCAGGGTCATGGCCAGCCACGTTGCGGATTGGCCTGAATTGGATCAAATTCAAGCCGAAGCGAAAGCGATCGCTTTCATCATGGATCTCCAACCGACGGGCAAAAGAAATGAGAAGACGACTTCTCTCAGTTTGTTGGACGAAAATTATTTTTAAGTATTTTTTTTATTATATTAACAATTAAATTTAAAAAGATAAACATTAAACATGATAAAGAAGATAATTTTTTAATGCCGTTCTTTGATCTTCGGCATCGCTGTATGGGTCTTGAAGTAAGGGAAAGTTGTGGTCAGGTGGAAGATCGGGAGGAGCACCTAGTGATATGTTATGTACAACTGAAAGTGCTACAATGAGGGCGCGCGAAGAAGACGGGTCCATATTAAGGGCTTTTTTGAAAATCTGGAATTTCGACTGCATCACACCAAAAAAATTTTCAATTTTCACCCTAGTTGCCGACATAATCTCGTTAAAACGCATGTTTTCTGGAGTCAAGGAAAGCTGCCTATAGGGTTGCATAAGAAACTTAGATAGTCCAAATCCGTTATCAGCAATTATAAATGGAGGCATTATAATGGATGAATTCGGAAGCGGGCGATATCCACCTATTGTGGCTACATTTTCGAGGAGTGCTCCCAAAGGCCCATCTCTGAACATTTGGGAGTCCGAATTTACTCCAAGCTCAGAGATTTGCAAATATATAACACGCAAGTTTGCATCACAACAAAAAAGAGAATTAAATGAATAAAACGACTTATAATTATAAATTAACGATCCTGTATGCGCAGGATGCTCGATCTTCCAATGCTTTCCATCCAATATGGCAAAACATGGAATTCTTCGACGAGGAGTTCGATCAGAAGAGTTCATAAATCCTTCTTCCAGACGAATTAATTCTCTTCGATTTTGTGGCAATCGGATTTGTTCTCCGGCAACTTGGACGATATCCTCGATTGTATCTCTAACTAGTCGAGAAATCGTTGATTGCGAAACTCCAATTTCCTTCGCAAGAAGATTTTGGCTAATACCTATAAATTTTATAATTTTAATGCTTGTAAAAAACTAACAAACAACTAAAAAATAACCTTCTCTTGTGTATTTTAAGAAAACTGCCAATCGAATTGTCGCATTGATTCGACCTTCGTGATTTCGGCATATCTTCAGAAGTTCCATGAACGTGCTGTTAGAAACGCCGGTCACGAACTTAATTTATTCTACATTACTTATGCAGAAATTCACTTGTTTTACTTGTTTCCTTACCTCAATACCACCACAATCTACTAATCGGTTGACTTTTTCACAAAAAAGATCGAAGCTCTGTTTCTTGATCACTTCAATTGTTTCAGATGCATTCAATGCATTTTGTTTCAATATCCAAACCAAAATAATTCGTTTTTTCATAAGCAGTGCAATCTATAAATTCATTTATTTGTTTTTTGTTTAAATTGTATTTCTTACTATAGCCTTTTTCTTATTTCGTAACCTATCCAAATTAGCCATGGAACGATCTGAAATATTCAATTTCTTTAAATTAAAACAATATTCGAATAAAATCGATTCAGTTTTGGAATAGAAAAAAACGAAAACGATATGAAATTATTATTTAAAAGTGTTACTCAAAAAAAAGTTTAAATTATTTAAAAACATCCGCGAAAAACGAGTGAAAATACGAAAATTTTAATATAAAAAATATTTTAAAAAAATCAATATTCAAGGAGCATGTGCCAATTTTTTTGAAATATCGACCCGCGATCTACAGTACCCCTCAGTAAAATTAAGCGCTTATTGCGACAAAAACGACATCGCTGCATAATGAAAATTTGTCGTTTTTGTTTAATTTACATTCACTGAATAGATCCATAAAACAAACCTTAAGAAGAAAGTTATACTTTAATTATTATTCTTCATAACAAAATTCCATTTATTTTCTTTCAAGACTATTAAATATATGTATTGTCGGAATCAAACGACTTGACGAAATTTAAAAAAAATTATTGGCAATGTGCCAATGCGTCTTAAGGCAGTGAGAAGTACGTGAAATTGCGTACCTTGAATTTAAGCGTACACGCATTTAATATTCAGTCAACGAAAAATTTAAATCTACACTGATTTCGCGAATTTGAATGCCCCGCCTCCTTTCAGTCGTTTGACGCCGACAATATGTATTGTTGAAAATGAAAAATGTATGGCGTCGGATTCTGTGTTTTGTACGCAATGCGACGAGCCAGTTACCGTAATACTCGAAGCGATTTACGCAGATTTTATAAATTTCGAGTTTTCATTTTTTTTCGCATTCTTTCGAATTTTCGTACTTTCTTTCGAAACATCTTATATAAAAATTTTAGAAACCCATTTTAATTAAAAATTTTAAATGTGCATCGAAATTTTAACCAAATTTATCGATGTCCATTCAAAACCGATAGTGTTATTTTCATTATTCAAATAAGAAGTGCCGAACGGAATTTCGATTCGCCACATCTTTTTACTCGCAATTTCTTCACGATTTCTATCTTTGGCATCCGTGAACTCGATAAGCGCTTTTCTTCATCTTTCCCTCTAATCGAATTAGGAAGATTTTTGATTTTCTTGCCGACCATTGTTGATATGAATTATTTAGTGGTCGACGGCGGCGAAACAAAAAAAAACTCAAGGATTGCCATCGCAACGTCTCGATATAAAAATCGGGTGTGATGACACAATGCGGCGGCTGACAGACGTCCAAATCTAGTTCTTATCGAATCACGATTCGCCCGCCCTCTTGTCGAAGAAGCCATCGTGGTCATCCCTCGAGATCTCGGCGATCCGCGAAGAGGAATTTGTAATACGCACGGAAAAAAATTTCCCCTCATCATCACCACCAACACACAATGCGGCGTGTCGCTGTAGCACTTCTCGGCGTCCAATTATTCGCTGTCGCTGTCAATGGTTTTCTATTCAGTGAGTTCATATTCATTGAAAATCAAGCCCAATTTGCGAAATTAGTCGTTGTCTAATTAATCTTTTTTTGTTGACGTTGGTCATGTTCTAAAATTCACTGTCCTATTCAGCTCTAGCAACTCGAAGCCATTCAGATCCGACGAAATTCGGCTCTGCAATCAACCCGATGGTCATACAAAGATTCTAAAATTGTCGTATTGCCATATGATTAGTTTTTATGATATTTTCGGATACGATTGATTTCGGGTTATCAGAGAGAGAGGTACAATGCAGAATTGTCGAAATTGTCATTCTTTAATTTTACGTGATTGCATTGGGATAAAAAAATCTTAATTTGCCGTTTTTTTCTTTACAAAATAACAAAAAAATTCATAAAATGTTAAAAAAAAATACCACCCAAGCTCAAAACTTTCGAAAAAAAAAGGGAAAAGGCTTTTGAATTGCCACGCAATTGCGTTAATTTTTTTATTTTCTCAATCAACGATCCTGATATATTAGCATTTCAGGTTTAAAAATCTGAATAAATAAATGAATATTTAAAACACCGTGACGCCAATGTCAGCGTAAAATCCCCCAAAATCGCCCTTCTTATTTGAATTTTTTTCTTTATGGGTTTCTTTACCCATAACAACACCTTGAAATGAAATAAATTAATTTCAGTTGGACCATCTTGCGGTTGCACACCATCTCCAGCTTGTCCATACATGCCAATCTCTTGTAACCAGAAGCCGATAGTACATTCTGCCAAGACGGTCGCGCAACAACCAATCCCCGTTTACTCGGTTCCCGATGATCTTGATCTGGTATCAACTTATCAATTGTTGCGCAATGAATGCCAATCGAACAAACTTGTTCTTTCAGAGAGCTGCTGCTTTCGGTGTTCCGCTTGTCCCACAAGAATTACCATCGACATTCGAAATTTTGCATAATCTTGGTGATTTGCATGCAAATTCGCCTTCTGAAAATCCTGTTGTCGATGGAAATTCGAATACCGATTATGTTCCAAGGGACAATGATGAAGATCTCACAGTTATCGACAATGGAGGCTTGGTTGGGTCCAAAGATATTCGCCGATCACCGCAACCCACTATTCATGTCCACCAGGACGTCGAGGATTCTACGTCGAATGTGTCGGAGCCGCATGTTGAAGAAAATTTGGATCTTAATAAGTGCAACAGCCAAGTTCTGAAGAAATTAATGCTCGAGGTTTCCACTAACGTTGTTAATTAAATATATCTATTCTTATTGCAGAATATGAACGACAGTTCAGCAGAATCAAAAAAGAAAATAAACGCTGCAGCAGAAATCAAGCTTGGAGGAAATGTAGATGTAATCTGTTCTCGAGGGCACTTTTCCTATATTTTCACTTCGAACCTATTCTGCGAGGCAAGCAAAGGCTTAACCACATGTATAGCTTTTCGGCAAGCCGAAAAAATTACACGCAATTGATAATGATCTCATCACATGTACATATTAATAAACAATTATTTCCAACAAAGGAATTTATTGATAAACAACAAACAAAACGAAGAGCTGGATGTTGACAGCAGGGAATCTCTTCGACAACATGTTCTGCACTTAGAGCTTCAGCTTGGTGCGTCTCCAGTGGCGTCTCTTGGCATTGTACTTCATCTGAAACAATTGAATGAAAATTCAAAACATTATTGTTTTCATAGCGATTCATATAATTTTTACTTATTCGAAGGATTGATCATTAACTTTTAAGATTACTTACAGTGTTTCCGGTCTTCATGCGGACCCACTGTGGCATTGGGCGATTTTGCTTCTGCTTTTTAGCAAGCTTGCGCTTTATGAAGGATTTCTTCAAAGCAGCCATTACCTGAAAAAAAAAACATGAAACTAGATAAGATAACTCAAATCTAAAAACGTGGGAAGTCCCAAAAAAGGTCGAAAAATATTTTTTTTTCGAAAATTATCATATTAGACAGTTATATATGACAATGTGAATTTTTTTTATTAACTAGTGATAGATAAATTTTCAATTAACACACTTTTCACTAAAAATTGCAAAAATCTAAGCTGGAAATGGGGAAACACGAAGAAAAACGAGCAAAGAAAGATTTTGGGAACGAAATGCAGAAAGGAGGAGAGGGGTAAAACAGCTCTTCGCTGCGAGACCAGCGCGTATGCAGCGAAACTTGGCTGAGTATTCAACGTTAATACACACTGTGTCTGCCTCCCTCGTCGGTTTTAACAATTTTTCTCTTTTCTCGCCTGATTTTTTCAATTTTCCGAATTTTTCGTTTTGAACTTATTTATGCAACAACACATTTAAAAAATTACACATTTTTTTCAATGCAAGTATGTAAGAAAAATGTACTTTTAAAGTAATAATTTTCATTTTTTGTAAAAAAAAATACATTTCATGAATAAGTCCGTGAATTATTTTGCCGGTAGAGTTTTTATCGGGCACATGATATCCTAATTTATATTTCTTCAATAAAATTGTGTTTTAATATGTTTTTTATTTATTCAGGATGCAGATCTTCCTTCTGGGTCTCGACAACACCACGCACACCATTGATGTGGATTCTTCCACCACCCTTAGAGATATCAAGGTGAGAATAACTACGTTTTCAAAGTAATTTAATTGGTTTATACGCGTTTTTCTTAACCAAGCCAAAAACAGAAAGTGAAAAAATACAAATAAAACACTTTAGTGATTGATAATATGCTTAAACTAATGTTTTGCAGGGAATAATTGGAGCCGGAAGCGAGCACACTATCTCTTATGGATCTAAGATGCTCGACGAGCAGCTCACCATTGGGGAATGCCAAATCGACAGCCTCTCGACCCTTTCCGTGAACGGAAGACTTCTCGGAGGTACGCGTTTGCAAAAAAAAATGAAAACCCGATTTAATTTTTAGGAAAGGTCCACGGTTCTCTTGCTCGTGCCGGAAAGGTCCGTGCTCAAACTCCAAAGGTCGATAAGCAAGATAAGAGAAAGAAGAAGCGCGGTAATTTTAATTTATTCTTATTGAGTTTTTTGCATCATTTTCAGGACGTGCCTTCCGTCGCATTCAATACACTCGTCGTTTCATCAACGTCGCTACTGGTCCAGGAAAGAAGCGTGGACCAAACTCCAACTCTTAAATTGGAAGTGTTGTTTCTACAATAAATTGTTATGGTTTACATGTTTATACAAATAAAAAGCGTATGTCGCCGTAGTTTTATCTTAACCACGATTCAAAAAGAATTTACATATTTATTTTCAAGGAATCATGTCAGGGGAATTGTTGCAAAAGTTTCTTGCGTCAATCGAGCATGGTAATCTTTCTGCCTGGTTGTAATAGTCATAAATTTATTTAACGAAGTGAAAGAGAAAATTTCAATAGACGTTTCATCGCTTTTAATTATTTTGATTGAAAACATTTTAATGCGTTGATCGTCTAATCAAATGATCCATGTTTAGAAGATGGCATTAGGAAGAAAGAAAAGAAGGCGAAATCGAAGTCTGCCGTTATGAAAAGTAATGTAAAAAGTCTCCTACAAGCTGCTTCAAAGGGACAGGTTTCGATTATACTCGACGGCAAAAAGGTGATAATTTTGTTTAGGTTGAATTATCGCCAGAAGAAAATTATATAATCGCGAAACCAAGCACTTCCCGAGGTGACTATATCGATGATAGATTGGCTTCTAAGGTTTTTATAGTGAAAAAATAAAACAAATTCAACTTTTGATTGCAGGGTTATTCACTGATCGAGCAAGTCAGAGATTTTAAGCCTCGCGATTTGAAAAAGCGAAATCTGAAGTAGTCTTTCTAAATTTAAAATCATCAAAATTATCATTAAACAATTTTAGATATGTTAAATACCAAGAAACGAGAAAATTAGATCCTAAGAAAGGAAGAACACTTGTAGAAGAACACTTGAAGAAAAAAGCAGATCTTCGCTCATTACGGAAATCTAAAAAGCAACTTGTTGGTAGGTTGAAATCTAATTATTATTAGAGAAGATTTGCAAAATTCAAATATTTCATAATGCGAAGAGCTAAACGGGATATATTTATATTAATTGATATTAGCTTAACAAAGTTGCATTTTTTTACAGGGTTAAAGGAGCCGAAGCGAAATGCGAAGACGGGTAAAAAGAAGAGCAAAAAGTCTGGAAGTGTGTTTTCCGACGCGGATTTTGCTGCCATTTCGAAAGCTCCGAAACGGGTCAATTCGATATCCGATCACTCATTCCTTTAGATGTTACTCGATTTGTTTTTATTTGTTGTGCATTGTTGTTGGATTCCTTATCATTCAGTTTAATAAATTTGAAACCATGTGCATATGATGGGAAAGTGCAAATTTTCCACCCAAAACATGTGCACAAATATTATCGGTATTCAGATGGTATGCAGTTGAACTTGAAAACATTGCACTTTTGGGTGAAAAGTATAACATTGGACACTGTAAAAATAAAACATTATATATAAAGAAGGAGATCCATTCATTAAGAGTCTTGATGCTTTGGTTAATTGCTTTAATCTCTTTCCTTGTATGGACCATTGTGGTGAGTTGGCCGCAAATTAAAGAGCTATACAGGATCAACCGGATATGCAGTGTTGAGTTGAAGGTTTTTGCCTATACAAATAATGATTTTAAAAAATGATTTTTTTAGAAGTTAGGCGGCCCTCCAACGCTTCCAATTGTTGGCAGCGCATATAAATTCAAATTAAATAACCGAGGCAATTTGAAATTATTTATTTAAACAATTGCAAGGGTTTTTTTTTAGAATTTACATATCAGCTCGAAGAATGGGTTCGTGAGTATGTTATGGCACCAGATAGTAATGGAGCACTTGCGGTATATTTCTTTTTTTTTCTTATTTCGCGATTTTATTGCGCTTAATCACAATTTTCAAGAAAATTTCCTTATAATAAAATATTTAAAAATTAAAATAATTGAAAAATTGCCAGAAAAACTCGAAATCGGCAGTTTTCAAAATATTTTGAGAAGTTTTTATAATTGAATTGCAAAAATGAATTTCTGAATACGGTAGTTAAAGGGGCACACTTATTTTAATTCTGATTCTTGCAGCGAACAATTCTAGTATTAAATTCCAGAGGTAGGCTTTAAAATCTTTCATGATTTTGCGGTTTTAAAAATGATTTGTGTAAGGCTAAAATTTTAATGTTATTTGACTACATCGAAAAATTTGCCAATTTTTTCAGGTATGGGTTGGCCCAGTTCCCATCGTGTTTCTATGCGCCCAAGAAGTAATTCAGGTATTTTTGAACAATTCCAAACTTCACCCTAATATTTCCCCATTTCAAGCTTCTTCTTGAGAGCACTGAAAATATCACAAAGCCAGTTCAATATGGCAAAATAATGGAATGGATTAGGACTGGTCTTTTGACGAGCACCAATGAGAAGTGGTGAACGCGCCGGAAGATGCTCACCCCGACATTCCATTTTTCAGTTTTACAACGATATCAGGAAACATTTGCACAGCAGGGAAAAGTAAGTGTTTTTTTAATTTATGTACATATATTAAATAATGCATTTTGAGGTTCTCGTTGAGCTTCTTGCGAGAAAAACGGGTCAACCTGAGCCCTTCAACATATTCCCATATATTAAACGATGCGCTTTGGATATTATTTGCGGTGAATAATTATTGGTAGATCGAAATTTTGACGAAATCAGCTTTCAGAGACTGCGATGGGCGCTGTTGTAAATTCCCAAATCGGGTCGAATAATGAGTATGTCGATGCTGTTGGAAGAATCTCTGAGCTGATTTGGAATTATGAGCGACTCCCATGGCTTTGGTTGAAGCCAATTTGGTACGGAACTGGTCTTGGATTCGAGTTTGATCGATTAGTAAAGCTCACCAATGATTTCACCAGAAAGGTTTATTATTTCCTCGTTTTATTATTAAACTCAATTTTTGAAAAATTAAGGTAATCGTACGACGCAAAGCCGATTTTGATGAGAAAATCTTTGACAACGCATACAATGATGATGATGATCAAGAATATGGACGAACCAAGAAGCTGGCATTCCTTGACTTCCTTCTTAAAATGCAAAAGGAGGGAAAATTGAACGATGAAGATATTCGCGAGGAGGTCGACACTTTTATGTTTGAAGGGCACGACACAACAGCAAGTGGAATGGTGTTCACATTGTGGTGGCTCGGCCAGTATCCCGAGTATCAGCAGAAAGTGCACGATGAGATGGACAATATATTTGGCGATGATTACGAACGAATGCCGACAAATGAGGATGTCAAACAGATGGTCTACCTTGAAAAATGCATAAAGGTATAAAGAATATAGTAGTGGACGGACGAATTTGAAAAATTTGAATTGGTCCCGTCAAATAGATTGCCTTCATTTTAGTCATTTGACAGGGCAAAAAAAAAATAATCTTAAAAATATCTCTGACAATCTTAAAAATATCCATTAAACGTTATGTTCTTTCACATTATGATGGTTAAATTAAGCAATACTCGCTCAAGTCGGCAATTCAAATAATAAATATTCTTTGACAATCAACTTTGAGATTGATTTTCATATTCAGGAGGCCTTGCGATTATTTCCATCAGTGCCCATCATTGCGCGAAAATTGACGGAGGATTTGATTCTACGTAAGTCTGTTTTTATTTCTGTTGAATGTGATGCCCTAAATTGAATTCAATGTTTAAACAACGCTTCTATCATTAAGAATATATTGTCTCAGACCCACAAATTTTTGATAACGCTTGAATTGACTCCATGGATCACGAGTTCTATTCTTTCTATTCCATCCATTGGTGATTTCTAACCATGCCAAAAAGTGAATGAGTTTTTTTGGCTACAAAATATTTGAATGTATGCGTCGCATTCGTCTTCGAGACCAATTAAAAATTCAAACTGTTCAATTCATCCGTCTTCGAAAATATAATAAAACAATATGACTTTTGTGATTGTTGAAATTATTCTAGTGTGTAGTCTGTTACAAAAAAACCGACCATGCTTCGTATTGAATCATAAACAAGCGGGCTATACTCGAGACATTCCAGTTGGGTTAGAGGTTCTTGAATACGTGCGAATGTCGAATTTTCAGCTCATCCAACGTACGGAAGTGTCCGACTACCTGCCGGCATGACGGTTGGCGCTTCGCCGCTAGCGTGTGCTCGAGATCCACGCGAATACGAGCGGCCTGAAGAGTTCTTTCCGGATCATTTCGACGCGGAACGCGTGGCGCGTCGCAATCCCTACTCTTACGTGCCGTTCGCCGCCGGTCCGCGCAATTGCATCGGCCAAAAGTTTGCGATACTTGAGGAGAAGACCGTGCTTTCATGGATATTCCGCTATTTTCGCGTTCGATCGAAAGAGCATTGGCCCGATGGTCGTACCGTTCCGGAACTCATTCTTCGACCCTACGACGGCGTCAAAGTTTACTTGGAAAATCGTCGAACACTATGATGTTATTCAATGGAACCAACCAACTTGAAATACCCGTTTTTGTAATTGCCGCCAACATCACCTTATAAAATCTTAACGACGGACAGAAAAAAAAATGAAAAGATTACATTCAGCGAAAACAACTGGTTCACTGAACCCCGCCTGATAAAACGTCTGTTTCTTTTTGTCACCTTCGCATTCACTCATTCCTTATTTTCAATAAAAAACGTGTTTTTTAATTTTTATTTTAATTGTTTTTTTTTATTAAAAAAACATAATATTTTAAACCATTCAAATTTGCAGATGATTATTCTGGTTAGTTTGGTGATTGGCTACGCAATTTATCTCGTCGTTGTGTATTGTGGGAAAATTCTCGAATTGTGGAAGTTGAGTAGAAGATGTTCGACAAATTTGAAGGTGATTTTCACGCATCAAAGCAAATGCAAAATTTGAAAAAAGCTAAACGATATTCTTGAACTCGAAAGCGATTGAGAGAATTTGGGTTCATGAAAAACGGAATTGTTTCGTATAAGCCAAATTTTATACAATTGACCATTACGAACCTATTCGCTTAATAGTTGTTCAAAGAACTACAAATTTGAAAATCGTTTGGCCGAAAGATTCTTTTTGTATTGCCTTTGAAAATTACAAAAAATTGATGTTTTGAACTTTTCTGGTCTAAATTTTGCAAACATTTCGATGATTGTGAAAAATCTCTGACGGATTGCTCCGTTTGCATCACGACGCATTAGAATTGCAAAAGCCAAGGAAATTTTAGAACGGCGACTCCAAACATCTCCCAAAAATGTTTGTAAGGTCTTGATGCGCCTTTAACCTCTCCTGCTTTTCCTGTAAATCGACACTTTTAGTTTTGCTCCAAAAACGCCGCCAAGTTTTTTTTGACATTCACCCTCATCGCTAACACACCAAAAATCCATATCCGACCTTCAGTGCATTCAATTGAAAGAAAATTTCTATGAATCATGTGATATCGCTATTCAAGCACAGACGACGTGTACTAAAAGAACCTTGTACTCTTCATTGATATGAATTGAATAAGACGCATGGTGTAATAAATATGTATGTATAAACATCTGATAGTGACTTCCTTTTGTGATGAGATGAGAGGGAGATGATACAGATGAGAAAGGGGCAGGGGTTCAAAATTCAATGGGTTGAAAAAATAATATTTATAATTTAAAAATATATATTTATTTAGAAAATTCGAGGTCCGCCACACATTCCACTCATTGGATCGGCCCATCTGTTCAAATGGGATTCATATGGTTGCAATTTTTTAATATATATATTTTTTTTAGAAATGATTTCTTCTATTCTAGAATTCACTTTCCAAATGGAGAAGTGGGCTCAAGAGTTTATCTTCAGCAAAGCGAAATGGGGCGAAACGAAAGCTGCCGATGGGCTTATCGACGGTATCATGACATTGTGGGTGGGACCAGTTCCGGTGGTGTTCCTCGGCACACCGGAGACAATCCGACCGGTGCTCGAAAGCAATTCGAACATCTCGAAGCCAAGTGAATATGACAAATTGCGCGAATGGCTCGGCACCGGCTTGTTGACGAGCACCCATGAGAAATGGTTCAAGAGGAGGAAAATGTTGACGCCGACGTTCCATTTCAGCATTATTCAGGATTATTTTCCGGTGTTCGTTGCCCAGGGAGAGGTTGATTGATAGCTATCGAAAGAATTGGTGGAAATTTTCAAAACCAATTTCAGATTTTAATGAATTTATTGGAGAAACAAGCGGATGGCGATTATTTCGACGCGTTTCCGTACTTCAAAAAATGCACATTGGATATTATTTGTGGTGATCAATTAAATATAAAAAATAATTTATAATTAGCGTTTTTTGGAATTTTAGAAACTGCAATGGGAATTCAAGTCAATGCCCAATATGGCCAAAATAATGAATATGTTGAGGCGGTGAAGAGGATTAGTGAAATTTTTTGGATTCATGCCAGGCATTTTTCAAAGAGTTTCAAAAATAAATTAGTTTTTCAGATTCCCTTGGTATTGGTTGAAACCCGTTTGGTATTTAAGTGGTCTTGGATTTGAGTTTGACAGGAATGTGAAGCTTACTAACGATTTCACAAGACGGGTAAGTTTTCATAACGAAAAAAATGTTTTGCTTTCGCGGGGGAATTCGTGGCTTGGGTCTCGTATGGAAAAACTGCTAAGATTGATATTACTCGTTCTAGCCTACATATTATAAAAAAGCATTTATTTTCATTAATTTTAATATCTATTTTTGGCATAGTGTTTTTTGTCATAGGTAATCGCAGAAAGAAAAGAACTGCGCAATGAAACTCACGAAGACGGCCGAAAGAAGCATCGAGCATTCCTTGATTTGCTTTTGGAAATGCAGCTTGATAAGCATCTGCTTACCGATGAAGATATTCGGGAGGAAGTCGACACATTTATGTTTGAAGGCCACGATACAACCGCCAGCGGAATTGGATTCACCGTTTTATTCTTAGGATTTTATCCGGAAGCTCAAAAGAAGCTTCACGCTGAAATGGATGCTATTTTCGGTAGCCGGACTCGTTGATTTTTTGCGAATCTGTAATTTATATAATATATAGGTGACTCTGATCGCACACCAACAATGGATGATATGAAAAAGTGTGTGTACTTGGAGAAGTGCATAAAAGAATCGTTGAGAATGCTGCCGTCTGTTCCGCTCATTGCTAGAAAATTGTCAGAGGACGTCACAATTGGTAATAGGGTGTGGTTTAAGCTTTTCCTAAATAATGAGGAGTTTCAGAACATCCCAGTGGAGAGAAGATAGTTCTTCCAGAAGGACTTACGGCATGTGTGAGCCCAATTGCTCCAGCAAGAGATCCAAGGTAAGTTTTCTTTAAATATGTAATATCAAATTTGAAATTCAAAAAATAATTAAATTTTCTCAATGGCGCGTATTTGCACCCTCGTAAATCTACACCGAGTAATTTCATACATCGAGACAATTTTTCTAGAAATCTAATTTTTTAACAAAATATTTCACGAAGAATCACGAATCGAAGGATTAAAAAATTCGGTTTTGCTTTTCTCAGAGCTTGGAAAGACCCTGGCACTTACAATCCGGACAATTTCGATATTGACGCAATTTCGGCTCGGGACCCGTTCGCCTATATCCCATTCTCCGCCGGTCCGCGCAATTGTATCGGCCAGAAGTTTGCGATTCTCGAAGAGAAAACGGTGCTGTCGTGGTTCTTCCGGAAATTCGAAGTGCAATCATTGGATACTGAGGAGAACTTGAGACCGCTGCCGGAATTGATTCTGAGACCATCGAATGGGATTCGCATCAAAATCAAACGACGCCATCAAGATTAATAAATAGTTGAGACTTATTTATTCGTTGGTTGCTTGCAAATATTGGAATAAAAAAATAATTTTTTCTCTTTTTTACTAGATAATAGTCTGCTTCGGAGAAAAATCGTCTACTACAAGAACCAAACAATCTTCTAAGTTATGCGCCTTTAATCAATTATTCCTTTTTTCTATTTCGTCGAGTTTATTCATAGTTGTGAATATCAAGAAAAAAAAATTAAAGAGTGAAAGCAGTGATTTTCAAGACAATTAGAAGATCTTCTAATATTGGTCTCGTAGCGGCCGATTACGATACAGGTTTTTTTCCAGAAATCATCGAATTAGTTGAAAGCTTCACTGAATTTCAGCTTACTGGATTTTCGCAAGTCAAATCGAAAAAAAGAATTGTCTGACCTGCCTTAAGCTGTGTAATATTGATGGAGAACCTAACCGCCGCTGAATTCACCTCCATCGGTGATTGATTTCATTTTCGAACCACGATGGTGTTTTAAAAATAGAAATAATTAAGAACAATACCAATTACTTCATTGTTCCCCCCTTGCCAATATATTTTTCTTGCCAAAAACGCCGATAGCGTCGCGAGTGTGTATGTGTGGGAAAGAAGCGGGCGATTTTTGAGATGAGGTATAACCCGTTTGACATTCAACCCCGCTGTCGCTGTAGATTCATATATATATATAAGAAGGTTACACAAAATCGCCTAGGGTAGACCCATCGACTATCAGTTTCCATTCATTTTGATCCTTTTTTTGGTTGCTTTGACGAAAAAAATAGTTTTTTTTTTCCAAATAGATGCTTCTCGTTATCTCGCTGGCGCTGCTATCGCAATCCGCGTCGGCGTTCTTGTTCGGATGCTGCGCTCCTCAAGTTCAGACTTCATGTTGTGGCGGCACCAGTTGGGCGTATGCGCCACCACAAATTATTGGATATGAACGAATCCCATTGTACGCCAAGGTGCCAGTTCCGCAACCAGCATAGTAGGTTTTTTTGGTTATTATTTTCATGCTCAATTACTAACTAGTCCAAATCCACCTCCACCACCACCACTACCACCAATGCCAATCTACACACCACCACCAACGACCTTGGCGCCTACGACAACATCGTCTCGTCCAAGAATCGTATTTGTTTCATTCTCACCGCCTAACTCCTATGGTAACATTGCTAACTACTACTAACACTATGATAGCAATAGGTGCTCCACCTCCACTTGTCATGTCTCAGCCGGCTGCTCCAGAGCCCGTTGTGGTCTCACAGCCATCCTATTCGGCGCCTCCACCGCCTCCGATAGTGATGTCACAGCCAGCAATTCTAGGCGGACCTCCACAACCGATAGTGGTCTCATCGCGACCCGCCATCGCCACAATGATACCGCTTCAAAAATCGGGCAACGCCTTCGCAAACGAGCAAGACGCGATGTAAATTTTGGCTAGTGTGTCGATCGTCTACATTCTAACCGCTACTAATTCAGAATAATCGAAACCGACGAATTTCGGAGGCGTTCTAGAAAAACTGGAAATCGCACCGAGTATTGTCGAAATTTTCCATCTCATCATTCCGATTGATTTTCAGCGTTCAAGCACCGCCATCGTATGGTTACGCGTCGGCACCACAACAGCCAATGGTAAGGTGTTCGCATAGTTAATTCGATTAACTATACATCCGCATGTTTTTCAACGACTGACTAGCGAAGAGAAAGAGAAGCGCGATGACGTCTGCGTATTACAACATACTCATTTTTTACAGCAAATTCTGCAAAATGCCTATCAGCAGCAGCAGGAGATCGGACAGGTCGAAAATGGTGTTGAAGTATCGGTTCGTACATTCGATACGCATCATTCAATATAGTTGTTTAAATATTCCAGTTGAATCAGGCTGAATCGGCAAGCTATGGCGCTGATAATAGTGTGGCAGGACCATCACAATACTCGAGAGCTCAAGCACAAGTGATTTGAGCACCATCGGTTGCTCGACGAATTTCGTGATTTCAGGAAGTTGCGCAAACGGAAGTCCAGGGCGCTTACGACGCCATCGGCAGTGCTCCGAGTGCGCGAAGACTGCGAATGTTCAAAAACTAGATTGATTTCCATATCATTTGTATATATTTGACTAATAAAATTCATACCACCCAATAAATTTTTACATTCTCATTTTTCATTGAGGAAGTTGGTGATGTGAATAAATTAGTTCACAAATGCGTAATAGTATATATTCGTTAGAGAGAGAGAGAGAGAGAGAGAGAGAGGTTATAAAACCACCCGCAAAATATGTGGATATTCCTACCGGCTGCCGAGATGGCCGCGGCCGCGGAAAGCGCGGCCACGTCGAAGGAAGAGTCAGCCCAGATTGGATATGGCACTGGGTGGTCCGTAGTTGAGTAATTAGGCACCCTGGTAACTCGACACCAAGAGGATCCAACAAATTTCGGCTCCGGAATCATTGATCATTATTCGAATCCGTTTTGTTTTAATTTTTCAATTCGGATCGAATTCGACAATTTTACAATCTTATCCGTAGAATTTCCAATCGGATAAGCTTGATTCCGAAGCCAAATTTAGTCAGATCCAATTGGTTTCGAATTACCAGAGAGTTTATTTGAACCCCCGAGAAAAGAGAGAGAACCCATCAATACAAAATTCGCGCCCTTATAGTATAGTAAATTGACGTGCTTCTAGAAAACTCGTACAATTTATCACTCCTCATTGTTGTGGGACCTTCCACAACAAAGGTCCTCGCTTTTTTTTTTGAAAATGATATAGATAAAATTTCGAATTGTTGGCATATGTGCAAATTCATCTGCGGACAATATTTTCGATTAAGTTTTGGAAAAAGCTGTCGGCAGATTAGTTTTCTGCTATAGCTTCCATTTAATGGCGACTACTTTGAAATTCCATTTTGATACATTTCTAAATACCCTCCCTCCCCCGATGCCCATTTCCTCTCTATTTTTCAGACATCCCCCTTTTACCCTATGAAACTCGTCGACAAATTTTATGCTCTCCGTTTCTTTACGTCGATGGTCCCTCCCCCCGTTTAAATATTTATTAAGAGTGAAAATGAAATCAAAAACATGTCATCTCTTCCCTCTTCAAAAAAAAAGGTTAGACAACAAAATTTTTTTCACGATGCCGTCATCATCAGAAATTGGCGGATTTCCCTTCATACGCAATTTTCGCCTCGTCGAAACACCATCAATTCGATGGTCCCATAAAAAACGGACCCTTGCACACCTTTTCGTATTTGTATTATTAAATTTGAACCATTTACGTCGTACCCCCCTCTTTTGTGTTCTCAATATTTTCTTGAGCACACAATAACAAGATGACAAAAGAGCAGAGTCAGGTATCGATGGGAAGTCGTTGGGTGGGAGTGTGAGGCAATTAGGAATGCCAAATATATAATTGGAAGACAATAGGGTCCTACAGGGAAATGCATAAACACCGAATGGCATAATAGAATGATGCTATTTGTGGGACAATCATAAATACACGAGAAAAAAAAATGTGAAAATGGGTTTTACGAGTTTATTATAATCGATCATTTCTCAACATTGGAAATTATGAAGCGTTTTGTGTACTCCACACGGACAATGCAATGCTACGCGTAAATCGACACTCATTTTGTAAGCTAGCATGACAATACGCGAAGTTCCATTTTTTGAAAAATTCGGTTTTTTGAAGATTTCGAGGAAGCTAAAAAAAAATGTCGAAGCTAAAATATCGCCTAATTAGATTCTTTTTTTGTAATTTCCACAGTGACAATATTTGTTAGTTAATATAGCCTATTTTTCACAATCATTCATAAATTTGCGATAGTGTAGAAAATGTGAATGGCCGTGGCCGGATGTCTCCTATTTTGACGGCCATTAAAATTATATTATTAGAAAATTTGGGTTAAACTCAACGCATTTATATTGCCGTCAATTCAAGTGCAAAAGTCCGCAATGTTATTTTCTGCATTATTTTAAAAACTAAATATTTTTTTATTTTTTCATGTTAATTTTTTTTGGAATTTTGGTTTTTTATGCTGCAAAAATCTAGAGTGTTATCGAGGCACTGACAAATCACAATTAGGTCTGTCTGAGAACAATCGGATCCTATGATAATTATCCAAAACTCCCCTCATAAATCCAAACGACGATTGAATTATGAAATAATTCATTTCTGCTCAATGAGCACCGAGTTCGATAGCTCGCTAATTTGTTCTCTCTTCCAGCAAAATTGGTGTTGTTTTTCACGACGTGTGCTGCCTGTCATCACCATAAATCCATTTGATTGAAATAATATCAATTTTCAAGCAGATTCCATAGCAAAAACGAAATTGTGCTACCGTAACTCACAAGGGAAGTCATTTTACCTCCCGTCTTAGGATTTTTTGTAATTTTCTTTTTTTGTAAGGTCTTTTGAGTGTATTCACAAAATTTCAGCCTGCACTGGGGGGGGGGGTTACAGGCGAGTTATGGCCGTCTGAAAATTCAAGGTATTTTTCCATTGTCAGCAACTATTTGGGCAAGGGGTTACGCATACGCCTCTTGCGGCCAGTGTTTGGCATCCAGGATCACCTTGAATTTTCAGGCGGCCATAACTCGCCTGTAACCCCCCCAGTGCAGGCTGGAATTTTGTGAATACACTCAAAAGACCTTCTAGTTTACGTGTGCAAAATTACAAAAAACCCTAACAAAGGCGGGAGGTAAAATGACTTCCCTTGTCAGGTCAATTCCTCTTAATCGATAAAAAAACGCCTCACTGATAAAATAGGCTGATTTAGTAAGTGAAAGGCTGTTGAGAAGAGCTTCCCTGCAAAATTTTTTATTAAATTTTCAAATTAGAATTTTCAAAAAATGCGAGTTTGATGTCATTCTCAAGTCTCAAGCATGAATCGGAGTCGCATGCAGATCATCATAATGCATCATTTCATCCACCCACCAAGTTTGGTCTCATTAAAATATTCCGGATGATTGATATGGTGCTTTCGAAATTCGCCTCGATGATGCCTTATTTTTCGATAGTTTGCATGCCGCCAAATTTATGACGAAAATATTTTTTCGCTATTTTCTTTTGGTTTTTGAAACTCGACTATTCTGATGCCATACCATACCATGAATTGTGACGCTTCGGCAAAAATTCCAGACCGCCAACCAATTTTTTTCCTCTCTCTCTCTCTCCTTTTTTGTTCAGGATCGAGTCAAAACCAGAGCGACGCCGGCATCAATTTTCCTAATTTGCTAATTTGCATGCACCCCCCCGAGCATTTTCAGAGTTGTTGTGAGGAAAATCATTTACTTCCGATTTCCATAATGCTGGATTTGAACAAGGGGTCCCGGCACGAAAAGCATTGTGTGAGGCGTGCGCCTTTAATCCCAACAAGTCTCCACGACGTGACCCGCTTCAACAGGGGTTTTTTGGGGACTTAGCCAACTTTAATGTGGGCATGGCCGTGGCCTTGGTTTTTACGAGGTGCCTCATTTTACCCCAAACTTCAGAATTCTTTCGAATCTCCTGATATCCGAAAAGAATTCTGCAGACGGCAAAATTCGAATAAATTGTCGATTTTGAAGTTTTCAAATAGCATTTTGGTTTTCTTTGTGACAAAATTCCTTAAGAAATTGGGGCAGTTTCCTTACAATATTTGAAAGGCAAAATTAGCGTATTCATTGTTTTCAACTCAAAAAAAAAAGAAACGGACCATTGAAAATTGCTTTGTATCAATTTTTTCATGGATTCAAATTTTTGATTTGGTTTTTTGAATTTCGCGCCGCCAAACTAAAAATTTTCAGCAGCCATACCCAAATAGGAGCGAAAGTAGGCAGCATTAAATAGAAGCCCCGATTCCCAAATGATCAACATTTCGGTTTCCTAGAGCCCGAATAATTATACTAACACCCTGTAATTTCAGCACAAAAAAAACATGAAAAATAGAAATGACTAGATTTGGACTTTTTGCCTCTTAAACTATTCATGATTCAGCTCAAAAAACGAAACGTCGAAGCCCTGAATAAAATATGGTTGAACTCTCTTTATTTTTTAAAGAATATGGCTGGCCTCATCTTCTCTCGATTTCCAGACATTTGAGAATTTTACCGATAATTTCTTATTGGTCTCTTTTTTTTTCTTGAGAATATAATTGAGACCACTCAATGTTTCCGTGCGGAAACCACAAAAAGCCAATTAGCGATGGTGGCTCGAATCAATCACAAAGATTTATTGGCATTCTTGCGCGCGTTGGCCGCTCGTCAATCTGTGATCCATCGAAAGCAAAACATTCATACATTGATGGAGTGATGTTAATCTGAGAGGTGAAAGAATATAAATGAGAATTAATTAGAATACTAAATTATGTGAGAAGCTTCGTCAGATTGACTATTTGATTTATGAAATCAACTATTTCTTTGTTTTCTCACTAATGGAAAAAAAATCATCGAAAGAAGCCCTTAAAAAACGCAATGCAAAATGCAGAAAAGAAAAACTTCTAAAACCTAGGCCACGGCCATGCCCCAAGTACCACAATTGTTTAAATTTTACCATATGCGCCTTTATTATTTTTTTTATGTTAAACCGATTTTTTTCTATTACGATTAAATGATTCTTGCAGCGATTTAGTAGAAATTGTGGTACTGTAGACATTGAAAAAAGATGGCCGTGGCCGAGGTTTTTGGAATATTTTTGTCTGCAATATGCATCGGGTTTTTCTTCCCGATTTTTCGAACCATCATACAATGAAAAAGTCAAATGTCTAAAAATAGCATTGACGAACCAAAAACGCTCCAAAACATCATTCTGACACCCTCATTCTGCAACGTAATCAGCGCAACCTGAAATTGCTGACAATTTCAGGTGCATTTTAGCATTTTGCTGGCGATCATGGTTCAGGCGGGGTGAAAAAAAAACAGAAAAACTCGTGACGTTGTTTTATTTTCGTCGTTCACCGATTATATAATGAAATTGTTTGTGGGTCCCCATGTAATTGGTCCGGAATAGGATGCGAGCGAGATTTGATTACATCAAACTTTGCTGGTTTTACAGATCGGATTACAAAGCTTCTACTGGATTTTGGGATTTCAACTTTTTCCCATAAATTGTCGGCAGCTTCGTGCTGTTCCATGCACTTGTTTATTTTCATTCTTCCCGTTTTGGATTTTCCCAAACTTTGCCGAAATTTGAGTATTTCAAGATTAGACCCTTTTTAAGCGATTGACGGGGATTATAAGCTTAAGCTAGGGTTGAAGCATCCGATTTCAATTTTTCGATGATTCTATATATAGTCGGCGTCCGGCGACTGCTGTACGCGGGTAGATTTACGGGGGACGCGTCTTTCTCTTGGTCTCGCACGGACTAACATGTTATTTCAAATGTTATGGACCTGTTCTATAATTTTTTAATCGAATATCGTTGAAAATTCAAGGAAATGCCAAACTCATCAAGAAAAATGAAGCAGTTCACGTGAAAATAGAAAAATAAGCGCTCACGCGTGGCGAGACCTTTTCAAGGCGCATGCGCGTAAATCTACAGCAGTCGAACCCATGGAAAAATTGTGATTTCGCGATTTTCTCGACAAAACCAAAACTATCGAAAATCAATTTCCGCGTTTGTCGCCATCAATTTAATTTGCACATGCATATTCTAGCGACCCCCCCCCTCCCTTCCCAAAAAAATTTTTTTCCCTCCAAACAAAACTCTTGTCATTTTGCATACGACTTTTCAATTGGCTTCTCATGATGGATGAATGCTCCAAATGTGCATTAAATATATAATGTAATCTACATATACTATTCGAGAACTTCTCCTCCCACCAATCCAATTCGTCTCAATTCCGTCTTATTCAATATGGCTCAAAATCTGTATCGCTCCGCCCCATTGTGCTCAAATCTAGCTGTATGTGGTGCACAAGCAAAAGGGGAGGGTCGCTTTCGAAGGCATGGGAGAGAAGTGGGCGGAGCTTCTTCGCCGACACTCGAATGACGTAAAAATGGGCTCGAGCGGCGAGGGGAGGGCTCTCGTGTGCTTACTACTTATATGATGATGATTTCTAGGTGTTGGTCCTCATTCGTCTTTTCATTTCCATTCTTGGCGGTACCGCAAAAAAAAAGAAATGAAAGCATTTGCAGACATGCGAATTCTGTTCCTGCTCTCGTGTCTTCTTGCCTGGGTCCTCGCGGCGCCAATGATGGACCGAGACGACGCCATCCGATTTTGTAGGTTCACGTTCAACTCGCATTCATAATCGCTTTCACACAATTTTCAGTGGACAACTACTTGCGTCAATTCGGACCCGATGACAACTATATGTCATTGATCAACGAGCACCCGCTCAATATTCCATTGCTATCCGGAAAATCGACAATTTTCAGATCCATCAAACGCGGACTGGGTCCTCGTCCGTTGCGATTCGGCAAATAGTGGTCCCATTCGTCGCCATTCACTCAATCGATCTCTCGGAATTGACAAGAAAACGCTGCAGAATATCATAATGTGACCCCCCCCCACACCAAAAAAATGATTGTTAGTCCTCTCGCCTCTCTCATTCTCACACACTCTCTCTCATCACTCTAACCCAATTAAATCATTCCCCCCGCGTACTGTTTTTGCCAAATAACTGCTACTTCTTCGATGTCGTCATTGAAACAAATGCACTCTCATTCACACACACACACACACACAAACAAACAATCTTCTAATAAATGCTTTGAATTGTTGTTGTTTTTTTTTTCGTCAAACGCATACAACATTTGCGTATTCATGCTGAAAATGAAATGTCAAACGCCCAAAACATCAATGAAAGCATATGAATTTGGAAATACGTGGCCGGCGAGGTAAACTACATGCATTCATTGGGTTGGCTGAAATTTTTCGAAAAATCTGGAAAGTTTGGGATTGAGCGTGAACTCCAATGTACTTAGTAACACCACCTGGTTTGGCTCCCCTTTGAGTGGGGTGTGACATCAGAAGGGACGTATCCAATTAGTACTCTCCTACAGAGGAAATGGCTTGTTAGGCTAATCTCAGGGCATCGGACCTTTCTTAGATGAACCCCCCCTCATATTTCGGACTTATCTGAACTTAAAAAAAAAACTCCAAACGCAAATTTGAAATGTCATCACCTCTGCGCGGACTAAAAACAAAAAACTCGGCCATACAAGCTCGGCCATGCGTGGGGAGCTCAACAAAGTTTTTACCAGAAAATCGAATTTTTCTATTCGAATTTATGGTACTATTTAGATTTTCCGGGAGGAAACAACCTCAATCTGCATAGCGCACTATTTTTTTGTTTAACCGTTTCTCTTGAGCTTTTCGGAAAATCAAATTGCACAAAACTTTATGTCTCTTAGTAGTGCAATAAATCGACTAAAATATAAAACAGTGCTATAAAATAAGCGCAAGAAGAACTCTGAACGATTCCGGTGGGAATCATACTCTGCACATTCGGTTTGGACCAATTAGTGGGACCGTTGCTGGTAGCTCTCGGGACCCACAGACTCTGGTAACTTAAAACCAATCGGATCCGACAAAATTCGGCTTCGTAATCAACCTTATCCGATTGGTAATTCTACGGATAAGATTGGTTATTTGTCGAATCTGATTCGAATTGAAATATTAAAACAAAACGGATTCGAATAATTACCAATCGGATTCGAAGAAAATCTAATCGGATCCGACAAATTACCAATCTTATCCGTAGAATTTCCAATCGGATAAGGTTGATTCCGGAGTCGAATTTTGTCGGATCCGATTGGTTACAATTAAAATCGTCAATTTCTTTCGTCCGCAACAATACTCTTCGAAATTTTTTGATTCCATCTAAAGATGTAATTATTTTTTATACATTTAACGCATTTAAAAAGAAATGGGCAAAATAATCTTTAAAAAAAACTGATATATATTTAGATTATAAATTTAAAAAAATCGAAACAATGGCGGACGTGAAATGTGCCATGGCCGAACATTTCGCGGCCGCCCTTCGCCATGGTGAGAATTCTATCTTCATTTTTCCTTGTTGAATTCGATGTTTTCTTACATCGGCATTAATCCTGAAATGCGAAATAACCTTGAATTTTGTGCAAGACCTACGTGGTCAAGGGTTCATGTAATTCTTTGAAAACTATTTTCGATATTTTTTTTTAAACATTTGGAAAGAATTCTCGATGGACATAGAGAGCAACTTTTTTTTTCAGAAGTAGACTATAGTCTATAATTCGCAGAAATTGAACACCCAGTGTCAATAATTGCCTGGAATTTCAAATACAAAATTATAGTTATAATTATTCAAATTTATTGTTTCATTATTAAAGGTGCATGTGTGTGTGCATTAAATAAGAATGATGATAGTTTGGTTCTCGCGATTTCCTATTTGATAGTCACTTTTTTACAATTTAAAAAATCAGAAGTTAATTGATAAAAAATGTAGCCGACATATTTTCGTTGTTTTTCATTTTGCAAATGTTTCTCCTATAAAAAAATCACAAAAAATCTTTAAAAAATCATTTTTTATTTTGGTTGTTTTTTTTTTAATAAACCATTTTGATCAAATACCTTTAAGCTTGATAATTTACAAAAATCTGAAAATACACTTCGCCAAAAATTTTAATAAAATGAATTTTTTGTAAAATTCCCTTGAATGAATGATCCATTGATACTGTATTCTAATAATATTCATATGGTCCCATACAATTTCCAGGGGGCAGAATAAAAAATCCACCAGACCAATTTGGTCTCACAATAATTAGCTCGCTTTGGCTGCGTATCAAGCGAACACAAAACTACAGTACACTTCAAAGGCGCATTCAAAAATTTGTTAATTTTGCGTCAAGTTGAATTAGCTACAAGTGAGGAAAAAAAGCAATGTTAGAAAATTTTTGGTTTGAGAGAATTTAATTTCAGCTTTTTCAGATATTGCCACAATCATACTGAGTGTTTACGGACCATCGAATATTCAAATGTCGATTAAAACAGGATGGAGTTCACAGCGGACCATCGGCAATTCAAATTCACTTTCCACTGTAATTTATGAATTACAGTAACGATGTATGGCCAAGAAAATGCATACGGAAACCCATTATTAAATATTTTCTTTGCATTTAAAAACGACTTCCCACTGCAAGCCCAAATGACGTCATTTTATGTCGCAATAGAGATCACAAAAATTTGCAAAAAAAACTATAATGATTGGATTTGTGTTTCCCTCATTTTTTCTTATTAAAATCTACTGAAAACGCTCCAACTCTTTTCATAAAATGCGCCAAAAATGTTGGCAACCACCCACCCACCACCCTCATTTCATTTCGGGCGTGTTCGACACACAAGAATGACAAACACGTCATTTTCCTGTAAAATTTCAACTTTTTCTTTTGGCAATTTTTTGTTGCAACATTTAGCAAACAATTTGAGAATTGCCAAATATCGAGTTTCACAAATCGATTATTTTTATTAAAATTTTGAATTAAGCGGCTCTATGCCAAAGAGTTTCAATATTAGGGGTCCAAAAAAATGTTTTTTAATAATAAATAGTAATAAATGTCGATATTGACTCATAAATTATAAAAAATTGATTATAGAACACAATTTAAAAAATCGAAAAATTTGAATTCTTTATTTGCCCGAAATGTTCAACAAATTGAAGGGCCGCAGTACACCACACGCAAACTCACACCATTTCAAAATAGATACCGTAATCTTCTGCGCTATGAATATTTAAAAGGCAATTCTGTAGAAGGAAGTAGAAAAATAATCTTTGTTTTTCTATTTTTGTTATTTTCCTACAGAATTGTCTATTTTGCAAACTTCTTTTCAAAAAAATTACGCTTCACACATATTGAGATGTTTAAAGGCGCATGGTGATTCGTGTAGCAAATTTTTTCCACTACTAGTATTATATTGAGTATTTCCGATTTAAAAAAATTTTTGCAAATTTCCAAAAATTGCGTTCCATTCAAAATTTGACGTCAAAATTTCAACGCCGAACATCTCAATTTTCTAATGTGCGGAAATTCGCTGTTAATTCCAGACATGGGGCACTTTTAAATCCAAAATCTTCATTTTAGATCTTGCTAAAAAAAAATTGTGAGCTCATCATATTCCTACGGTATCTTCTATACGACCTCTGGTCCAATTTATGATTATTAATATCAGAAAATAAAAAATCAAAAAATGATTCTCAATTCTCAATTTGTTTTCCAGAATATTCATTATTATAGGCTTAAGCTCAATGAGCCTCAGATCCCCCAAGAAATTACGTGCATCTTGCCAAATTCTGGCATTGTTCCACGAATTTTTAATACTAAACGTTTTGCTCTTTCGTTTCCTCTAAATATAACCCCCCGTCGTTATATTCCGATCGAATCTCAATAGAAATTTCGAGTTCCACATGTTTGGCACATATTCATCGATTCGAGCCTCTTCTCTTGGTGCTTGGGAATTTTTGCTCATCACTGCAACTGTGCTACAGACGAAAAATGGTGAAAAGGTGGATGAAAAATAGATTACTCGGAAAAGTAGATAAAAACTAGGAGAAAAATGGGCGAAAAATAGATTATCTCAAAAATTGGTGAAAAATATACGATAAATGGATGACAAATAGATGAAAAATTGGGAAAAAATAGATAGAAGATAATGATAAGAAATAGACACTGAAAGGGTGAAAAATAGATGGAATTGTGCAGTTGATCGTAATGTGAATGCAGATGGCGCCATGTTAATCACAATTTTTTTAAAAATCAATTTTGGAAATGCCTAAAACTCTTCGCCATCGATTACCCAAAGAAGGTCTCAAATTGAGGAAAGGTAGGTTTGTTTCGTATATTAATATTGCTGATTGTTTATTATTTTAAGATCAAATTGCTGGTTCGCGATGCATGCCGACCAAACGTGTGGTCTTTGCTCGAAAAAACGCCCGGCTTTCACTTCGAAACAAATCGTCGAACAACGAAAATAATGAAAATGATGCATCAACAACATCCTTTCTCATGAGAGAACGATCTGAAAGCGAAATTGAAGAATTCTCCGAAGTAGTCGGGCCGTCATGCGTACCGAATTACCCCGCACATGATCGTGTATCGGAATTGGCCGATGAACTATTATTGTGCATGTATAGTTCGGTACTCGGAAAAGATACAGAAAATGGTAAAACTAATACTTTTCCAAAGACAAAAAATGGTTGCAGGCTTTTTGAGACGACTGGCAACAATTAAAAACTTCATCCCGATTGAAAGAGCCCGCTCATTGTGGTATGATTTCAAGAAGAATATTATGAAGCGTTCAATATGCGAAAAGTGTGGATGTCGAAGAGAGAAAGAATGGTAAACACATATACCACATTTCAAACATTATTATGATCAATTTCAGTTGCGGCGATTTGGCGACTTTTCTTATGCTGCCTCTCACCGAACAAATTCGCGGGATTGTGG